ACTTTTGAGCGATTTCCGATAACCGGAAGTGGTACTTTTCCTACTTTGAATTTTTCAAAAGCCTATAACTTGAGTACTATTTCAGATAGATAAATGAAATTTCACATGTAAGTAAAAGATCTAATTCTCTACCTTCTGTTAAATTTTGAGTAATTTCCGTTGACTGGAAGGAGTAATTTACGCTACTTCCGATTTCTCAAAAAACTAATGTAAATTTTTAAAGTACTAATAATATTGCGCACTATTATACGCGTTTTTATTCGGCGTTTGCTTGGTGCGCAATGTTTTTTTTATGAGATTCTATTCTATTTTTAAAAGTTTAAGTATTTAAAATGGATTAAAAATCATAACTATATCCCCAGTTACCATCCCCTGTTGTTTTATATAAGAATATTCGAGAAAGTTTAGGGGAGATCACTCCCGGTTTATTTTCTTTCTTTCTATAACTATTGACATGCTTTCTTTCGTTAGATCATTTTCCTTTGTTAGATTGCTTTATAGATTTTTAAAATTTTAGTTGTGTTGATGTAAACAGCAGTTTCTTCCAGGCATCTCTTCGGAGGGGCGAAGCCCCCCCCCCCCCACCCCCGAAATTTTTTTACCCCCCCCCCCCCCGAACGAAATGAAATTCATATAATTTATATAGAAAATATATACTTTTAACAGTGTCCGCCCTACCCCACCCCCCCCCCCCCCAAAGAAAGTCTACCGACCCCCCCCCCCCCCCGAAAATTTCAAGTGCCCCCCCCCCCCCCCCCCGGAGAAAAAAGTCTGGAAGAAACACTGGTAAACAGTACCGACTAGGTTAGAATAGAGGGGCTATCAAAATAGTGGCTGAGTAAGCTTTGGCGTTGTGATGATGCCGTATGAGAGAGGAAGGAAAGCAGATTTCAGAAGAGTTGTTTTCAGGCATCATTTTTTTTTGGATGGAAGTGGGTGGGGGGGGGACCCACCCCCACCCACCCCCACGAAATAGAAATAATATACTTCAATCAGCGTTCGCCACCCCACCACCCTTACATTTGAGTTCGCACCCCCCTTCCCCCTGAAAGTTTCAAGTGCCCCCTGCTTTGGAGAAAACAGAGGGGGAACGGCGGACACTGGTAAAAGTATATATTTTAGAGATTTTTCCACAAAAACATGCACGAAAGAAACACTGGTAATGAGAGAATGTATATAACAGGATAGCTATGAACAGCAACTAGAATGTTTACATTTGCCATTTCTCAGTTTAACTTGTCATTTTAGGTGTGTGTGCGTTGGGGGGGGGGGGGGGGTCCTCCCATCACAATCCTTGTCTACACTGCATATTCTATTGCATTTTCAAAACATATATTTAAGTGGGTTTTTTTTTAAACACATCATTCATCTTTGGTTTGATATTTATCTAAAAGTCATATAGCTCACCTTTCTATCAAGGGGTCATCCATAAATGACGTCACGCTTTTTTTGCCGAATTTTACCCCCCCCCCCCGTCACACGTCGTCACAAACATCCAGACACCCCCCCCCCCCCTTAAAATGACACCTCAGCCTACAACCCCCCTCGAAAATGCTGTTGAATTTTTCTTAAAACATCGATATTTTTCCAAAATTTTGTCAGAACTCCGCCAACATCGAGTATTTTGATCATTCCTATTACAATTTATTAGAACCGTTTTCTAAAACGCGAAATAACGGCTAAACTCGTTTTTTAACTCTGCTTTTTTATAATGCAAAAAAGTGACGTCACACCCCCCCCCCCCCCCCCTTCACAGAGGCGTAGCGACCCTTCCAGGCGCCCGAGGACAAACTTTTCGATTTGCACCCCCCCCCCTCGAGATTTCATTTCAATTTGCACCCCCCATCAAACTTTCGATTTGCGCCCCCCCTCAAACTTTCGATTTCCACCCCTCCCCCCTCAACCTTTCAATTTATTTTTCCAACCCATTTTGGCGCCCCCTAAGGTCGGCGCCCGGGGACATATGTCCCCCCCCCCGCCCCCCTCCCCCCTCGCTACGCTACTGCCCCTTCGTCACACACCGTCACAAAATTACGGACCCCCCTCTCCCCTACGAGTGTGACATCATTTATGGACGACCCCCCAAAAGACATTTAAGTCTAACAAGAAAGGTTTCGTGCGCAAAATAGTCTAGATCTATATATAGACAAGCATTATGAGCCAGATTTAAATTGCGCGTTCAATAAACTATCCAGAGCTCAGCAGGAAGGAAATTAAAAAAGTATCAAGATGTCCGGAGGGGAGGAGGTGAAGTTTTGTGGCGCTTGCATGAACCTAGCCTTGAAATTAGATCGAGGAGTTGGAACAGCGTAGTGTAACAGGTATTTTATTCTAGATTTTACTTCGTTTTTTATCGATAAATATAAATATAAATTTAGGCTAACTTGGCCAAATGAGTTTTTTTAAGTGTCTGAATTTCAGTCTGAATTCTTGTCTTTTTAAAAAATTATTTTATAATTATAATAAATCAAAATCTAATCTCATATATATTTTCGCGGGGGGGGGGGGGGGGCGGGGCGGGGCGGCGTACACTGGTATTTTCTATATAGCGCATAGCCTGAATTCCATTTCGTTTGAGTGGGGGTGGAGGGGGGGGATGAGAAGAGGCTTCCTCTTCCCCCCCCCCCCCCCCCCCAAAGAAACCCTGCTCCAGATCTTGTTATTTTTAATATTTCTAAACTGTAGATCTAGATCTAGTCATAGGGCCTACTTACTTATACTATAGATCTAGATTAGTAAACCTATTACTATTATGGAATGTCAGATTTTTAAAGACTTTATTAGATCTAGACTAATGACTATTTGAATCTATACTAGATCTAGATCTAGATCTTTACTATATTTCTTACACAGCAAAAGTAAGGAAAAAAAAAACTAGATATAGATCTATACCTAAACAAAATAATAGTGTGAAGCTATTTAAATGTACAGTCAATTTTGTATATAATATATACCTCTAATTATTTTAACAAAACCCTGCCCAATCAATACCAATGAGCTTGTGTTTCAGTGCTTAGGCTACAACCCACTCAAGCGAATCCTTCTTCTCTTGAAAAGCTCTTTTGTCAGTTTTGTCCCATAAGCTAAGCAGGCTTGTGTAGTGTTTCAAATGTAGTTGTAGTTTATTGCTGTTACATGCAGGTTGTTGGAATTGGCAGTCAGAGAACTATTTTTACATAGATCTATATGTGTAGACATTAATTAGGTTGTTTAGGCCTGCTTGTGTTTCATCACCTTCTGTGATTTTCTTTTCATAAAATTAAACATAAGTGAATTCATCTTGTCATATGTACAATCTTACCTATACTTAGAGCTTTAGGCCTGCTTTGTATATATTTGTATATGACAAAGGCCTATAGGTTGCTAATTCAATTTTATTCTAAATGTTGGGAATTCATTGAGAGATTTCAATTAAACTGGATTAACTTATTGCTTAGATTTTAACATTTTAGCAGGTATTACGTTTTTAAAATTTTTTGAATATATTACTTTATTTTTTGAATATGAATGTATTAGAAAATGTTCTTACATTTCAATAATTGTTATAATTTTCCTTCACAGAACCTCGGCTTTTCCCTGTGGACAAACATCAGTAATTTTAAAAACATGCAGTTTCTATTCTACAAATATTTGTTGATCAAAACCACAGCTGGAATATATTCTACAATTTCTTGATCTCCACCAGTATTCTGTCAGTACCCAATCTATTGTATAAATATTATGGCTTTAACTGAAAACTACTCATTTTATTCACTTTAAAGTTGTATCAATGTCAGTGTTAAGCAGACAGCTGTCACTCTTCTGTGTGTTAAGACCATGTAATCAACCTCTGAACAAGAATCAACTCAGAAATTAGAGCAGTCACTTATAAATTTACCAACAATTCAAGTCCCTGTTAGAAATTTACATCATTTATGGAACTTTAACTCTTCGCAATTCATGTCCCAGTTATAAATTGACCAACATTTATGGAACTTTAACTCTCTGCAATTCATGTCCCAGTTATAAATTGACCAACATTTATGGAACTTTAACTCTCTACTATTCAAGTCCAAGTTTTTCACTTACCAACCTTTAAGGAACTTTAACCCTCTGCAACTGAAGTCCAAATTTCACCATGCCTCCGAAGGAAATTCCTCAGATGGGCCCGGGCTCAAAGATATCGGCCCTGATAGACGCGTTGAAAAAAAATCTTATAATCACAGAGACAAAAAAAACCAGAGAGCTTCTAATTGACTTTTCTTCCATTGGATTTACCCTTCTCCCCATTGAGATCTGTAAAAATGAAGAGATCATAGAACTTGCCACCACATTTTTACTCCCCTTTAATCGACTGAAGAAACTCCCCAGCAACATTGATGCCTTACAAAACCTGCGCTACATTGACATGAGGAGTAACATCATGGGTTCTATTCCGCCCAACTTTTTTGACAATGTCTTATTAGAATATGTAAGTATTTCTAAATATTCATCATCATAATCTTTTCCTATTTTACACTCAAAAGGCATAAGACAGATGAAGCAGTTCATCTGTTTCAGTGACTATGGCATATAAATGCGGTAGTGTTTTCCCTAATGTGAGTTGGGTACTTATCAGAGTGGGTACACTCTGGGACATTCTACTGAAATCTATACTTTCAGAATAGCAGTCTAGAGTTCTACCACTAGACCACACTGTCCCCTCTAAATATTCAGTAGTTTATAAGTGATTATCCAGCTTTTTAAAATAAAAAGTGTAATTTGTTTTATCAACTGCAGGTTAGAAGTGCTTTAATCTAAACCATCTCACACATCTACTCTAATATGTATTTAACTCACATTTATTAGTTTTTAACGATCCTGTTGACTTTTCTCTTTTAAATTACAATTTTCTTTAAGTCCATTTAAAATGCTTATTGTAATGTAATAGCTAGGTATTCATGTTAGAAAATTAATCTGTTGATTTTAGAATTAAAGAACTTATCTTTTTATTTATAATGCAATAGTTTATTGACCACATCACTGTTACAACAGCAAAATTTACAATTATAGGCCTTTTCTGCAATATCTGTTACATTCTGTAACAATACCGTAATGTTATTTAAATAACACAGCCATTATTCTATTGGGTTACAGAAATGTTATTTTTTTTTTTTCTTAATCATCAGATAGACTGCTCGTTCAACCTGATCAAAGCCATCCCCCCAACCATCAAAAAGTGTGTGTATCTCCACACACTCATCTGCCAACAAAACAGGTTGAAAACTCTACCGTCCACTATCAATAGCTGCGTCAGCCTCAAGTTTGTTAATGCTAAATTCAATGAGGTGAGTGACCGCGGGTCATTGATTTATTTTCTAAGTCCACTTTCAATCATAAGATTATATCTGATTACTTTTGTAATGAAAATGTGGCGGGGTGGTAGAGCGCTTGACTGCCAACCTAAAACTGAAAATTGTAGGACATTTCAAAGACAAACGAGCTGTTGGTTTTCGGACCTGACTCATCTTCGGGGAAGTAAAGGCAGTTGGGAATAGTGTTGACCAGATTATACTTCATATTTGTGGTAAAGAAGAAGATGAACTGTGCATCATTTGCCCAATTGACTGTCAGGTTTTGAAGGGTATCTTTACTTCTTTGGTTACTTTCTTGTGGAATATGGGAGCTTAAGTAATTTTGTCACTTTAATTTTGAATTATTTTGCTCCCGTTCTTTCTTTATATTTGTGGGCATGATGTGTTTCCTATTTTTAATCAAACAATTTTTTTTTAAAGTCTTGTTTTTGTTTCTTTTTTTGTGTGAGATCTAATCCTAAATTGTTTTTATTTTTATTGATGCTAATTACCACAATTTTCTTTTTGAATTCAACCCAATAAAAAGTCCTTGCTTTTTACAGATCAAAAAGTTACCTAAAACCATTTATGAAGTCAGTGCAGAGATGGACTTTTCTTTCAACGAGATGACTGAGCTGCCGTCTGCCTCCGTGAAAAATCCAGCCCTGCGACGTTTGGATGTCTCCTACAACAAAATCACCACCATCCCCGCCAACATCAGCACAATCTACACACTAGTCTTTCTCAATGTTTCACACAATTGCTTGCAGGTGAGTTATTCCCCCTGTTTTTCTCAATGTTTCACCCAACTGTTTACAGGTGAGTTACTTTCCCTGTCTTTCTCAATGTTTCACACAACAGCTTACAGGTGAGTTATTCCCCCTGTCTTTCTCAATGTTTCACACAACTGCTTACAGGTGAGTTATTCCCCCCGTTTTTCTCAATGTTTCACCCAACTGTTTACAGGTGAGTTACTTCCCCTTGTCTTTCTCAATGTTTCACACAACAGCTTGCAGGTGAGTTATTCCCCGTTTTTCTCAATGTTTCACCCAACTGTTTACAGGTGAGTTATTCCCCCCGTTTTTCTCAATGTTTCACACAACTGTTTACAGGTGAGTTATTCCCCCTGTCTTTCTCAATGTTTCACCCAACTGTTTACAGGTGAGTTATTCCCCGTTTTTCTCAATGTTTCACACAACTGTTAACAGGTGAGTTATTCCCCGTTTTTCTCAATGTTTCACACAACTGCTTACAGGTGAGTTACTTCCCCCTGTCTTTCTCAATGTTTCACACAACTGCTTACAGGTGAGTTACTTCCCCCCGTTTTTCTCAATGTTTCACCCAACTGTTTACAGGTGAGTTACTTCCCCTTGTCTTTCTCAATGTTTCACACAACTGTTAACAGGTGAGTTATTCCCCGTTTTTCTCAATGTTTCACACAACTGTTAACAGGTGAGTTATTCCCCGTTTTTCTCAATGTTTCACACAACTGTTAACAGGTGAGTTATTCCCCGTTTTTCTCAATGTTTCACACACCTGCTTACAGGTGAGCTATTCCCCCTGTCTTTCTCAATGTTTTCCATTACCACCTTGAATGTGAGTAATTGCCATTTGCTTTTCTCTATGTGTCCAAGAACTGCTCTCAAAACCACAATGAAATGGAGAGATGATATCAAAATAAAAATATCAAATGTTTTTTTACTTACACTGAATAGATAGCTGCTTGCTTTAAAATAAAGCAGTGAGGAGAAAAGAATTCGCTATTTTTGAGAACTAATTTAATAAATGTTAAGTTTCTTTTAAAAAGATAGTTCACTAACTAAAGTTCACTAACTAAAACAAAATTTTTGTTTCTTACAAAAGAGAGTTTCCTTAGAGTAAAAAAAAAAAAGTAAAGTTCCCTTTCAAACCAGACGGTCCATGGGGCAAGTGAAGTAGAGTTCACTTATTTCTGTGATTTCGGCCTATGAAGGGATAGTGTGGTCAGCACAATGCCCAGCTGCCTTTACTTACCCTAACGTGAGTTAGGTACTCATCAGAGCTGGGTGGACTCAGGGACGCTCTACTGACTTGAACCCGGATTAGAACTCAAGACTTACGGGTTAGCAGTCCAGCTCTCCATCGCTAGGCGACTTCGTCCCTTACAGTACACAGCAGTTAGTTCACTAACTAAAACAAAATTTCTGTTTCGTACAAAAAAGAAAGTTCCCCAAGAACTGGCAGCACTCAAGTATCTACATGAACTAAACATAAGCCATAACCAACTGACTGCCCTACCAGAGACCTTTGGATGCCAGGTAAAGTAGGACTGCTATTTTTTTTTCATTAACTTTTTAACTTATTTACTATACCAATTTATTCTTACAATAATTTGAAATTATTTCCTGCATATGGTGCTAATTTTAAATATTTTTTGTCAATGCCAAATATTATAGATCTTTGTTTAGTTAAATTACATGTTTCTTTTTTATAATTTTTCTAATCTTGATTCTTAATGATTGTTAGCAGACATGAAAATATCGCACAGTGTCAACCCACTGACACATCAGATTCTATTTGTTTTAAATCATATTTCATGTATTATGCATATAACTCATAAGACCTTTATATAGAGTGTAATCATAGATTCTCCGCAAGTCACATCAGACTGTATCACTATGTATCTCCATGCCTTAGATTTTAAAATTTATTTTTAGTCCTACTCATTGGCTATAGGGCTGGTAAGTAGGTCACCAAGCAGTTGTATGGCTCATGCAGGTTTTATTGAGCCGTAGAACTGGTTGGTGACCTACTTACCAGCCCTATACTGAATGTCACATCAGACTATATGACTATGTATCACCATGCCTGAGATTTTAAAATTTCCTTTTAGTCCTATTCCCTGACTATACTGAATGTCACATCAGACTATATGACTATGTATCACCATACCTGAGATTTTAAAAATTCCTTTCAGTCCTACTCCCTGACTATACTGAATGTCACATCAGAATATATGACTATGTATCACCATGCCTGAGATTTTAAAATTTCCTTTTAATCCTACTCCCTGACTATACTGAATGTCACATGAGACTATATGACTATGTATCACCATACCTAAGATTTTAAAATTTCCTTTTAGTCCTATTCCCTGACTATACTGAATGTCACATCAGACTATATGACTATGTATCACCATACCTGAGATTTTAAAATTTCCTTTCAGTCCTACTCATTGGCTATAGGGCTGGTAAGTAGGTCACCAACCAGTTGTATGGCTCATGCAGGTTTTATTGAGCCGTAGATCTGGTTGGTGACCTACTTACCAGCCCTATACTGAATATCACATCAGACAATATGACTATATCACCATGCCTGAGATTTTAAAATTTCCTTTTAGTCCTATTCCCTGACTATACTGAATATCACATCAGACTATATGACTATGTATCACCATACCTGAGATTTAAAAAATTCCTTTCAGTCCTATTCCCTGACTATACTGAATGTCACATCAGACTGTATCACTATGTATCACCATGCCTGAGATTTTAAAATTTCCTTTTAGTCCTATTCCCTGACTATACTGAATGTCACATCAGACTATATGACTATGTATCACCATACCTGAGATTTTAAAATTTCCTTTCAGTCCTACTCCCTGACTATACTGAATGTCACATCAGACTATATGACTGTGTATCACCAAGCCTGAGATTTTAAAATTTCCTTTTAGTCCTACTCCCTGACTATACTGAATGTCACATCAGACTATATGACTATGTATCACCATGCCTGAGATTTTAAAATTTCCTTTTAGTACTATTCCCTGACTATACTGAATGTCACATGAGACTATATGACTATGTATCACCATGCCTGAGATTTTAAAATTTCCTTTTAGTCCTATTCCCTGACTATACTGGATGCCTCAAACAACAAGATGACTTCTCTCCCAATGGACATAGGCTGGATGAAGGTCATGGAAGAGCTCAATGTGTCCAATAATGAGATAGAAGAGCTTCCAGAGGAGATTCACAAACTTCAGTACCTAAAGGTTAGCTCTCCGCTTTAAAAGTTTAATTTTATTTTTGACAAAAATTAAAGATACTTTATAAGGTCTTCAGTGTTTTACCTAAAGCTAAGTTTTCCTTCTTTTAAGTCTAAATCTTAATTTTATCATTGCCATTTGTATTTAAATATGCTATTTAAGTAAGTATGGTTTTTGTTTCTTATATATTTTAATGTATTTTTTAAAAAAGCTTTTTATGCGTGTATTTAACAACTTTAATTTTATAAAAGTATATATTTTTTATAGATGACAAAAAAATTAAAATTTATAGAAACGTTTAGCCTATAGGTTGTAAAGCTGATTTTTTTTTTATTAACCTGTTGTATTTAATATAGTCATGAAGTTCTCTAAGTAGCCTACCCATTAATAGTTTTATCAGAAATAAAGTATAAAAATGGCTCTTTGTTTCATTAAAACATTGGTATAATAAATTAATATCCGACAGTTTCAGAGTTTCTATAAAATAAAATAGAGAAACTTTGCAAACTGTTGATATCTTTTAGAACTTTTGGTCCCATAAAATAAAATAGAGAAGCATTGCATTAAACCATGATATCTGTCAGAAATTTTGGTACAATAAAATAAAATTGAGAAGCACTGCATTAAACCGTTGATATCTTTCAGAACTTTTGGTACAATAAAATTAAATAGAGAAGCATTTCATCAAACCATCAATATCTTTCAGAACTTTTGGTACCATGCAATAAAATAGAGAAGCATTGCATTAAACCATCAATATCTTTCAGAACTTTTGGTACCATACAATAAAATAGAGAAGCATTGCATTAAACCATCAATATCTTTCAGAACTTTTGGTACCATACAATAAAATATAGAAGCATTTCATCAAACCATCAATATCTTTCAGAACTTTTGGTACCATGCAATAAAATAGAGAAGCATTGCATTAAACCATCAATATCTTTCAGAACTTTTGGTACCATACAATAAAATAGAGAAGCATTTCATCAAACCATCAATATCTTTCAGAACTTTTGGTACCATGCAATAAAATAGAGAAGCATTTCATCAAACCATCAATATCTTTCAGAACTTTTGGTCCCATACAATAAAATAAAGAAGCATTTCATCAAACCATGATATCTTTCAGAACTTTTGGTGCCATACAATAAAATAGAGAAGCATTTCATCACACTATCAATATCTTTCAGAACTTTTGGTACCATACAATAAAATAGAGAAGCATTTTATCAAACCATCAATATCTTTCAGAACTTTTGGTACCATACAATAAAATAGAGAAGCATTTCATCAAACCATCAATATCTTTCAGAACTTTTGGTACCATACAATAAAATAGAGAAGCATTGCATCAAACCACCAATATCTTTCAGAACTTTTAGTACCATGCAATAAAATAGAGAAACATTGCATCACACTATCAATATCTTTCAGAACTTTTGGTACCATAAAATAAAATAGATAAACATTGCATCACACTATCAATATCTTTCAGAACTTTTGGTACCATAAAATAAAATAGATAAACATTGCATCAAACTATCAATATCTTTCAGAACTTTTGGTATCATAAAATAAAATAGATAAACATTGCATCACACTATCAATATCTTTCAGAACTTTTGGTACCATAAAATAAAATAGATAAACATTGCATCACACTATCAATATCTTTCAGAACTTTTGGTACCATAAAATAAAATAGAGAAACATTGCATCACACTATCAATATCTTTCAGAACTTTTGGTACCATAAAATAAAATAGATAAACATTGCATCACACTATCAATATCTTTCAGAACTTTTGGTACCATAAAATAAAATAGATAAACATTGCATCAAACTATCAATATCTTTCAGAACTTTTGGTATCATAAAATAAAATAGATAAACATTGCATCACACTATCAATATCTTTCAGAACTTTTGGTATCATAAAATAAAATAGATAAACATTGCATCACACTATCAATATCTTTCAGAACTTTTGGTATCATAAAATAAAATAGATAAACATTGCATCAAACTATCAATATCTTTCAGAACTTTTGGTATCATAAAATAAAATAGATAAACATTGCATCACACTATCAATATCTTTCAGAACTTTTGGTATCATAAAATAAAATAGAGAAACATTGCATCACACTATCAATATCTTTCAGAACTTTTGGTATCATACAATAAAATAGAGAAACATTGCATCACACTATCAATATCTTTCAGAACTTTTGGTATCATAAAATAAAATAGATAAACATTTCATCAAACCATCAATATCTTTCAGAACTTTTGGTCCCATGCAATAAAATAGAGAAACATTGCATCAAACCATCAATATCTTTCAGAACTTTTGGTCCCATACAATAAAATAGAGAAGCATTTCATCACACTATCAATATCTTTCAGAACTTTTGGTCCCATGCAATAAAATAGAGAAGCATTGCAATAAACCATCAATATCTTTCAGAACTTTTGGTATAATAAAATAAAATAGAGAAGCATTTCATCACACTATCAATATCTTTCAGAACTTTTGGTCCCATACAATAAAATAGAGAAGCATTGCATCACACTATCAATATCTTTCAGAACTTTTGGTCCCATACAATAAAATAGAGAAGCATTGCATCACACTATCAATATCTTTCAGAAACTAGATATCTCCAGCAACAAAATCAGCAACATGGATGTCCTGACCAAGCTGATCTCTCTGGAGGAACTCAACTTTGCCAACAACAGCATCACCAGCCTCCCAAACAAGTTAAATGCCTTGAAAAATCTCATCCGACTGGATTTTTCTGATAACAATGTCAGCAGTCTTCCACCAACCCTGGGCAGGTGTGTGTCATTTTTATTAGGTGTGGTGTGTGTGACCACGTGTATTGTGTGTAAAATGTGTCACTACTCTACAACACAATCCAGTCATTAGTCAAAAAATTAAACTACTTCTCTATACAATCCAGTTAACAGTCTAAAATTTGTAACCTATTTTTCCCTGGGCAGGTGTGTGTCATTTTATTAGGTGTGGTGTGTGTTTGACCACGTGTGTTGTGTGTAAAATGTTTCACTACTCCACTACACAATCCTGTTATTAGTCAAAAAATTTTAACTACTTCTCTATACAATTCAGTTAGCAGTCTAAAATTTTTACCTATTGTTTGTATATATAAACTTGCTGGCAGTTTAAAATGCTAATGGTTTCTGGTTGTTTATTTTATCAGAATTGTTTCACTAAAAGACATCCTGGCGGCAAACAACAGCATCAGTGTCATAGACCCATCCATCGGCTCAAAGCAACTGCTGCGCTGTATAGATCTTACCAATAACAAGTGAGATTCAAATATTTTTTCACATTTTTACTGACCATTATAAATATTGGTTTTGAATTTTTTACTGACCAGAATTAAAATATTTGTTTCACATATTTATTAAACCACACTAATAAAATATTTGCTTCACATTTTTTACTGACCATTATAAATATTTTGGTTATGAATTTTTTACTGACCAGAATTAAAATATTTGTTTCACATATTTATTAAACCACACTAATAAAATATTTGCTTCACATTTTTTACTGACCATTATAAATATTGGTTTTGAATTTTTACTGACCAGAATTAAAATATTTGTTTCACATATTTATTAAACCACACTAATAAAATATTTGCTTCACAGTTTTTACTGACCATTATAAATATTGGTTTCGCATTTAATACTGACCAGAATTAAAATATTTGTTTCACATTTTTACTGATCTTTATTTAATATTGGTTTCGCATTTTTTACTGACCAGAATTAAAATATTTGTTTCACATTATCATTAAACGGCACAGTAATAAAATATTTCCTCACATGATTTACTGACCAGAGTAAACCTCTGTTTCAAACTTTCATTAACTGCATACAATTAAAACATGTTTCATATTTTTTACTGACCACTATTAAGAACATAATTATAGACTTAACAAAAGTAAAGAGCTCTCTTTAGACCTAGTGATTAATTGGGCAGATTAAACAGAGTTCATATGATTCTTGAAGGGAACTTGTGGTCAGCACTTTGCCCAGCCGGCCTTACTTTCCCCAACTTGAGTTATGTACCCATTACAGCTGGGTGGACTCAGGGATGTTCTACTTATAGATTTTATGTTTTTCTAGACTGACTGAGCTGCCGCAGGAAATGCAGCCCTTTAGAACTCTTGAGATCCTCCGTTTGAATGGTAACAGAATTGCTACTTTGCCTCCCTCATTTGAAGCCTTAGAGTTCCTGTGTGAGTTAGACCTGAGCAACAATTTAGTGAACGAGGTCTTCATTCCCAAAACATTGGAGGTAAGCTTGTTTTTTGTTGTTGGTGTAAACTTGGAGGAATGTTAGTTTTTGTGTGTGTCTGGTGTAAATTCCAAATTAGACACAATTTGGTGGGTGAGTTCTTCATCCCAAAAGTTTTTGGGAGGCTTGATTAAACTCTAATTAAACACTAAATGGAGCTTTGTCATTGTATTTTAAAAACTTTGATTAGTTTTAGGTATTATCAACTCTTTAATCCCCATAGCTTTTGTAAGGGCTGTAACAACACAAAAGTGTTTAATTTGATGGCTCTCACAGAGTTTGATTAGATGTTTACCTGGATAAGAAAAAAAAACATGGGTATTTGTCAAGTTTGCCTTTATAGCAGTTGTTAATAATATGAAAAAAAAACTGAAAAAAATTCAGAAATGAATTATTTTAAGAAGTGTTAAAAAATTAGCAAATGCAGAGAACATGAAAGTATTTTTTTTTAGTTAAGACTAAATTCATATTTTTTTAAGTCAACCTGACATTAATCTGAAATTTTACTTTAGTAAGATTTAATTTGACTGGCTTTGTCATAGGACTGTGGATTTAATGTCTGTAAACACCACTTTTTACTCAAATGTTTCTGTAAATATTTTAAATAGACTTACACTTTCCACAAATCAACCCTCTATTGTTTAGTTTTAATATTAGTGACTAAAAATTAAGCCTTATTGCATTGTTTATTTCTAAACATAAAAAAAATTAGCTGCATCAAAGTTGCAACTTTCTTTTAATGCTAATACACAAAGTTTATTTTCTCTTCAATATTTCTAGACTCTTCAATCTTGACTATATATCAAAGTTAATTTTATTTATAAGGTCTTATTTATTCAAATCTTATTGCTGTTAACTTTTAAAAAAGGAATGTAAAAATGTGTAGGTTCTAAATACCTTATTGCTGTTAACCTTTAAAAAAGTAATGTAAACATGTACAGGTTCTAAATATCTTATTTCTGTTACCTTTAAAAAAGTAATGTAAAAATGTACAGGTTCTAAATATCTTATTGCCGTTACCTTATAAAAAAGTAATGTAAACATGTACAGGTTCTAAATATCTTATTGTTGTTAAAAAAGTAATGTAAAAATGTACAGGTTCTAAATATCTTACTGCCGTTACCTTATAAAAATGTAATGTAAACATGTACAGGTTCTAAATATCTTATTGTTGTTAAAAAAGTAATGTAAACATGTACAGGTTCTAAATATCTTATTGCCGTTACCTTATAAAAAAGTAATGTAAACATGTACAGGTTCTAAATATCTTATTGTTGTTAAAAAAGTAATGTAAACATGTACAGGTTCTAAATATCTTATTGTTGTTAAAAAAGTAATGTAAACATCTAGAGGTTCTAAATATCTTATTGTTGTTAAAAAAGTAATGTAAACATGTACAGGTTCTAAATATCTTATTGCCGTTACCTTATAAAAAAGTAATGTAAACATGTACAGGTTCTAAATATCTTATTGCCGTTACCTTATAAAAAAGTAATGTAAACATCTACAGGTTCTAAATATCTTATTGCCGTTACCTTATAAAAAAGTAATGTAAACATGTACAGGTTCTAAATATCGGCAACAACCCGATCCCCCCGCCCAGCGTTGACCCCAAGTCTCCACTGCTGCTGTTGTCTGATGAGGAGCACGCTCGCCGTCTGACTGTTATAGACATTTCTAATCTCAAACTTGATGCCTTTCCCCCTGGCGTCTGCATGTGCAGGATGTTAGTCTCACTGAAAATTTTTAACAACAAGGTAATCTTCAGTTTATGGATTTAATAACAAGGTAAACTTCAGTTTATGGATGTAACATTTTTTTTAGGCAATATCTTTTATATCTAATTAATAAAAATATTTTACATATGCCTGTATAAATTGGATTGTAGTAGGCCTGTAATGTATTTGCAGTTTAGCCTGAATGAGATTTGAGTGACTTTTGATGTTATCATTTTTCTAGATCAAAGTGATCCCAGACAACATCAAAATTTGTAGAAACCTGGAACATTTTGATGCCCACAACAATGAGATTTCAGAAATACCAGTCAACATTGATTACCTACACCGCCTGAAGTACCTTGACCTTTCACAGAACGCTATTGTTATTCTCCCCTTTAACTTAGCCAAGGTTTGTCTCAAAACTCCTACATTTCTCTTGCCACCACTTCATCATTTCCTCCTACAGACAACTCCTCCCATCTTCCTTTAGACAACTCCTCCCATCCTTCTGCTGACAACTCCTCCCATCCTATACATACAACTCCTCCCATCCTCCTACATACAACTCCTCCCATTCTCCAACACACCACTCCTCCCATCCTGTCCATAACTTCTCTCATAGTCCAAAACTTTGAGTTCAGCATACTTGCACTGTATGGGACGGCATGGAGCACTAGACTGCTAACCCAAAAGTCTTGAGTTTAAAACTGATTCCACCCAGCTCGTGTTAGGGAAAGTAAAGGCGGCTGGACATAGTGCTGACCACACTATTCTATCACACAGAGGTAACAGAAACAGGTGAACACTACTTTAACTATTTTAACTTTCTCACACCATCAGTTGCGGAGAATCAAGCACCTTGATATGTCCTTCAACTGCCTTGAAAGCCTCCCAGAGGACTTCAACAATTTAGACCACCTGGTACATCTTGACCTCAGCAACAACGAACTGGTCAGCTTTCCGTCTCAAAAGATTGATGTCTTGGCGTCGCTCCTGACTTTAGATCTGTCCAAAAATCACCTGTCAGTGTTTCCGGAAGAGTTCATTTATCTTTTCAGGTGAGGGGTAAATTTTTTCCATGCTGGTTCCTTTCGGATCTGCCCCCCCCCCCCCCCGCACGGGGCAGGTGAAGTAGTGTTGATCTGTTTCTGCACCATAAAAAGTGACATTTTTATCCCCCTATCTGAGACGCTAGTCTGTATATATGTTCTTAAGGCTGATGTTGGGAAATAAGGGCAAGGTGTGTCTGTAAGCTTAAAACCCTAACCATGCATTAGTCATTATAAAAAAAAAAATTCTCATGAAAAAGAATTGTTAAATTTTATCAATTTTAAAATAACATTAGTGACTTTTTAAAAATTAAAGATCTATCTATTCTCTTAATTTTTAAATTTCTTGATTGGATTTTAGGATGATACATTTTTACTAAATTTTAATAAAACAATTATTTTAGCCGCCATTTATTGATATATGCCTTTTTTGTATTTACACATACATTTTAATGTTAGACAAATAAATTAGCTGGTAATTTATGTCTTTTGCTATAAGTGACAATTAATACCTTAATGTTTCTTTTCTAGTTTTGTATCTTTTCTAGCATATTGCTTTTTATTTTAATTATTACTTTTTAAATATTATCCTCTTATTTTAATGATATGTCAGAGTGCTATTGACAATGACAGGATGACAGAATAGTGAAATTACTATGTAGATATATAATTTGTAGGACCACATTGTTGTGATTTAATGATGAACTACTTAAGTGAAGTTCAAAGGTAGATAACTCACAGTTTTTGTACAGACATTGAACTGAGTGATCTCCCCTCAGATTGCAGAAGTTGAACCTCTCAGGCAATGACCTGACAGAGATCCCCCAGGAAATCAACAAGATGCAGTCTCTAGAGAAACTTGACCTCCATGACAACCTACTGGAGTCTATCCCAGAGACCATCTCCAAGCTCAAGTACATCACAGAACTGGACATTAGTGACAACAAAATCATGAACATCCCCAGCAGTTTGATCAGCATGACGGAGAGATGCAAAGTTTGTTCTTTTTTTTTTTTTACCTTATTTTTATCAGTATGCACTTTAATTTTTTTTGAAGTCGTGGTTGAATGCTAGAGTGTTTTGACTGCTAGCCTGAAGGTCTTGAGTTCAAATCTCACTTCAGACTGGTGAATGTGGGACTTCCCTGAGTTCACCCAGCTCTGATTGGTACCTAACATGTGTTGGAGATATCTTCATTTATTATATTTGAGTCTAAATAGCTTAATAAAAAAAACGAGCCGAACTGCGGCGTATCATACGCCGATATTTAGTTGTTTTATTTTCTACTTTTCAGTCATTCATAATTTGTGAATTCGACAGTATCAACGCTGCCACTGAAAATATTTGCTTTAAAACACTATCAGTAGGTCGTTAAGGACGATACCCCCCCCCCTCCTTTCCCCGAACCCCTACCTCACCCCCCCCCCCCACACCCCCGTGAAAGCAGCCTCCTCTTAGTTACCTCCCCTAAGTTTAAAATAGTTTCAAATTAAATTATCTGCCCCTATTAGGCGTCACTAAACTTGGCTGTACGATCATAAACATTTAGCGTGAACCACAGCTCACCAGACCATGTGGGGGTGGAGGAGGTTGCGATATGCCTAGAGAGGAAGAGAGGGGACTGCTAGGCGCGCTTACAGCTTGTTTTCTAACGTCTCCCAGAAGAGAATTATATATATAGATAATTAAAGTTAGAAAACGGTGGAAAAAACAACAACAAAAAACACCTTAACTTTTAAAATTATAAAATGTACTTTAAATAATAAAATTTTTTATTTTCCCCTTTGGCTTCCCTTAGGTGAGCTATGATGATCAGTCTCCGGATAAAACGAGGGAGGCGCCAGGTGAAATTACCGATACTGTGGAGAGCCTCACAACTCTTGGAGGAGTGTGAGGCAGGGAGTCACCATGGTGTCACCACAAGAAGTCCACTGTCTCACCACACTAAATGACAGCGTCACCAGTTAATCCAGATTAAAACTTTGTAATCTGTCTCATAATACTAAAGCTTAGTGTCATCAATGTGTCACTATATTTTAGCCTAGAATTTCCTCACTGACTCATTATACCACAGCATGTTACCAATGTATTAAACTCAGAATATCAGTGTTGACTCATAACAATTAGAGTACACTCTCCAAAAGGTATTAAATGTCACCATTGTCTCACAACTGTCATAAGTAATTTGTCACCATTCAAGTTAGAATCAAAACAGATGTGTCACAATGAAATATCACTTCTGTGTCACCTGTTGTTAAGTCACCATTGTCTCACCACTGTCAGCTCTGCATTTTAACCCTGACTCACCACTATTTAACGTGCCACCCCTGTCACTAGAATTTATCCTTAGCATTGCACCACTTTTTCTGCCACCATAATTAAATTAGTATGTCCCAACTTTGTCACACAAAAATTAAACCTTAGCTGATCACCATGTCTCAATAATTAAATAATAGCTTGTCACCAATTTGTCACAAAAATTAAAAGTTTAAAAATAAATTGCAGTATGTCAATCCAATAAGGACTTGAGTATTAAATTAAATTTTTAACTAAGGGTAATGACCCACTGTATTACAAACAACTACACATGAGGATTTTATAAACTTGATCTTAATACTGTCCTGTATTAAAAACTTGATTTGAATACATTTTGTTATAAATGTTTTAAGTAAACCAAAGTAATCCTAGCAAAAATTTCCCTATATCAGTCTGTGATCTTTTACTTAAAAACTCTATCACTGTGATAATAGCTTACAGTAAATTATATATATATATATTTACTTCTATTTATTGTACCAAACATTCAAAATCTTTACTGTAATAAAACAGATTATTTCTTAATCCAAGCATTGTTGTTGTTCTAAAACCATTTAATTATTTTAATACAGTAATGATAAAATTCTTTTATTCTATTTTTTATTTACTCTTGAACAATATTTTTGAGCAAAGAAAAAACTAAGACCTACATTTGTAAATGAGTGCGAGAGGCTTCATAAAAGTAAAGTTGGAACACGGATTATTTATTCTTGAGGTTATTTTCTTCTAAACAATTTAATACACTAAAGATTGAATTGCTATATTCCATACTGCTCATTCATTGGTGAAGAGAAAATTAACGAACCATTACAACAGTTAAAGTAGAAGACTTCAATAGTTATAAATGAGAGAGGCTTCATACAAATATTGTGTTACAGCATCATCAAATAGGCTACATCATCATGGTTTAGGCCTACTTGCAGGAGAAAAAAATTGATGTTATCTCCAATGGAAAGTGGTGGATACATTTCACAAGCAGATATTTAATCAGTTGGCTGTAGAAATGTGTGCATTATATAAGTGGGCGTGTAGGTTAACTGTGTGTGTTGGTTTTGTCTAGGTTAAACCATGTTAAGTCTATGTTAAACTGTTATCTATAATAATAGTTTCGCTGTCTCTCTATCTATCTATCTATCTATCTGTCTGACAAGAACGCTCTAGAGAAAAGACAAGCAATTTAAAAACATGCACAGTAATTCGAAAAACGAAGTATGACGTCGACACATTTAGCACAGAGTAGAAAATAATCTCAAACCCAGAGAGTGCTCACAGTTATATGACGTCATTGATTTTCGCGTTAACATTGAATAAAAAGGAAATGTTGTCTAATCTTAATGGTTTGCGTGAAGAGTTTCTTGCATACAATTCTTCGGGTAGGGGCGAAGCCCCACCCCCCGCGTCAGAACGTCTGAGCCCCCCCCCCCCCCCTCCCCAACTCAAAAGAAATTTCTTCATCGATACTCTATAATAAAATTACCGCCTAATTAATGTGTCTAATCTAAAAAGTGGTTTTCTTGCAATTTCTTTAATGCAATTCTTCGGGTAGTGGCTAAGCGCGACACCAGTGTTTCTTTCAGACTTTTTCCTCCCCGGAGAGGGGTGGGGGTAATTGAAATTTTCGAGGGCGGGGTTAGAATTTACGGGGAGGGGGGGCGGACACTGGAAAAAGTATATAATTATATTTCGTTGAATGGGACGGTAGACATGTTTTTTTTGGGAGTGGGGGTGGGGGGGGGGGAGTGGGGGGGGTGGGGGGGGGGGAGGTGTGAGTGGGGGGGGGGCGGTGGTTTCCTCATCGATACTCTATAATAAAATTACCGCCTAATTAATGTGTCTAATCTAAAAAGTGGTTTTCTCGCAATTTCTTTAATGCAATTCTTCGCGTAGTGGCTAAGCGCGACACCAGTGTTTCTTTCAGACTTTTTCCTCCCCGGAGAGCGGTGGGGGTACTTGAAATTTTCGGGGGCGGGGGTAAAATTTTCGGGGAGGGGGCGGACACTGGAAAAAGTATATAATTATATTTCGTTGAATGGGACGGTAGACATGTTTTTTGGGGGGTGGGGTGGGGGTGGGTGGCGGTGGGTGGGGTGGGGGGGGGCTGGTGTGTGGGGTGGGTGTGGGGTGGGGGTGGGGGTGGTGTGTGTGTGGGGGGGGGTGGGTTGGTTTTAGTTTAGAGAAAAGAGACAGCACTATCAACCTAGCGCCCGGTGTATCCTTCCTCAACGGGCCATTTTTCTCGTCTATAATAATAGTTTCGCTGTCTGTCTATCTATCTATCTATCTATCTATCTATCTATCTGTCTGACAAGATCGCTCTAGAGAAAAGACAAGCAATTTAAAAACATGCATAGTAATTCGAAAAACGAAGTATGACGTCGACACATTTAGCATAGAGTTGAAAATAATCTCACAGTAATATAATGACGTCATTGATTCTGGCGTAAACATTGAATAAAGAGGAAATGTTGTCTAATCTAAGTGGTTTGCGTGAAGAGTTTCTTGCATACAATTCTTCGGGTAGGGGCGAAGCCCCACCCCCCGCGTAAGAACGTCTGAGCCCCTCCCCCTCCCCAACTCAAAAGAAATTTCTTCATCGATACTCTATAATAAAATTACCGCCTAATTAATGTGTCTAATCTCAAAAGTGGTTTTCTTGCAATTTCTTTAATGCAATTCTTCGGGTAGTGGCTAAGCGCGACACCAGTGTTTCTTTCAGACTTTTTCCTCCCCGGAAAGGGGTGGGGGTAATTGAAATTTTCGGGGGCGGGGGTAGAATTTTCGGGGAGGGGGGCGGACACTGGAAAAAGTATATAATTATATTTCGTTGAATGGGACGGTAGACATGTTTTTTTTGGGAGTGGGGGGTGGGGGGTGGGGGTGGGGTGGGGTGGGGGGGGGGTGGGGTGGTTTCCTCATCGATACTCTATAATAAAATTACCGCCTAATTAATGTGTCTAATCTAAAAAGTGGTTTTCTCGCAATTTCTTTAATGCAATTCTTCGCGTAGTGGCTAAGCGCGACACCAGTGTTTCTTTCAGACTTTTTCCTCCCCGGAGAGGGGTGGGGTACTTGAAATTTTCGGGGGCGGGGGTAGAATTTTTGGGGAGGGGGCGGACACTGGAAAAAGTATATAATTATATTTCGTTGAATGGGACGGTAGACATGTTTTTTTGGGGGGTGGGGTGGGGGTGGGTGGGGGGGGTGGGGGTGGGGGTGGGGGTGGTGTGTGTGGGGGGGGGTGGGTTGGTTTTAGTTTAGAGAAAAGAGACAGCACTATCAACCTAGCGCCCGGTGTATCCTTCCTCAACGGGCCATTTTTCTCGTCTATCTATAATAATAGTTTCGCTGTCTGTCTATCTATCTATCTATCTATCTATCTATCTATCTATCTATCTATCTATCTATCTATCTATCTATCTATCTATCTATCTATCTATCTATCTATCTATCTATCTATCTATCTATCTATCTATCTATCTATCTATCTATCTATCTATCTATCTATCTATCTATCTATCTATCTATCTATCTATCTATCTATCTATCTATCTATCTATCTATCTATCTATCTATCTATCTATCTATCTATCTATCTATCTATCTATCTATCTATCTATCTATCTATCTATCTATCTATCTATCTATCTATCTATCTATCTGTCTGACAAGAACGCTCTAGAGAAAACACAAGCAATTTAAAAACATGCATAGTAATTCGAAAAACGAAGTATGACGTCGACACATTTAGCATAGAGTTGAAAATAATCTCAAGGCGGAAAGTGCACACAGTAATGTAATGACGTCATTGATTCTCGCGTAAACATTGAAAAAAAGGAAATGTTGTCTAATCTTAATGGTTTGCGTGAAGAGTTTCTTGCATACAATTCTTCGGGTAGGGGCGAAGCCCCACCCCCCCCGCGTAAGAACGTCTGAGCCCCCCCCTTCCCCTCCTCAACTCAAAAGAAATTTCCTCATCGATACTCTATAATAAAATTACCGCCTAATTAATGTGTCTAATCTAAAAAGTGGTTTTCTTGCAATGGGACGGTAGACATGTTTTTTTTTGGGGGGGGGGGGGGGTGTGGTGTGTGGGGGTGGGGGGGGGGTGGGGGTGGTGTGGGGGGGGGTGGGTTGGTTTCAGTGTTTCTTTCAGACTTTTTCCTCCCCGGAGAGGGGTGGGGGTACTTGAAATTTTCGGGGGCGGGGGTAGAATTTTCTGGGAGGGGGCGGACACTGGAAAAAGTATATAATTATATTTCGTTGAATGGGACGGTAGACATGTTTTTTTTTGGGGGTGGGGGGTGGTGGAGGGGTGGGGGGGGTGGTGTGTGTGGGGGGTGGGGGGGTGGGGGGTGGTGTGTGGGGGGGGGGGGTGGGGGGTGGTGTGTGGGGGGGTGGGTTGGTTTCAGTGTTTCTTTCAGACTTTTTCCTCCCCGGAGAGGGGTGGGGGTACTTGAAATTTTCGGGGGCGGGGGTAGAATTTTCTGGGAGGGGGCGGACACTGGAAAAAGTATATAATTATATTTCGTTGAATGGGACGGTAGACATGTTTTTTTTTTGGGGGGGGGGTGGGGGGTGGGGGGGGCGGTGTGTGGAGGGGGTGGTGTGTGGGGGTGAGGGGTGGGGGTGGGGGTGGTGTGTGGTGGGGGGTGGGGGTGGTGTGTGGGGGTGAGGGGTTGGGGTGGGGGTGGTGTGTGGTGGGGGGTGGGGGTGGTGTGTGGGGGTGAGGGGTTGGGGTGGGGGTGGGGGTGGTGTGTGGTGGGGGTGGTGTGTGGGGGTGGTGTGTGGGGGTGGGGTGGGGGTGGTGTGTGGGGGGGTGCGTTGGTTTTACTTTAGAGAAAAGAGACAGCACTATCAGCCTAGCGCCCGTTGTACCCTTCCTCAACGGGCCATTTTTCTCGTCTATAATAATAGTTTCGCTGTCTCTCTATGTATCTATCTGTCTGACAAGAACGCTCTAGAGAAAACACAAGGAAATTAAAAACCTGCATAGTAATTCGAAAAACGAAGTATGACGTCGACACATTTAGCACAGAGTTGAAAATAATCTCAAGGCGGAAAGTGCACACAGTAATATAATGACGTCATTGATTCTGGCGTAAACATTGAATAAAGAGGAAATGTTGTCTAATCTAAGTGGTTTGCGTGAAGAGTTTCTTGCATACAATTCTTCGGGTAGGGGCGAAGCCCCACCCCCCGCGTAAGAACGTCTGAGCCCCTCCCCCTCCCCAACTCAAAAGAAATTTCTTCATCGATACTCTATAATAAAATTACCGCCTAATTAATGTGTCTAATCTCAAAAGTGGTTTTCTTGCAATTTCTGTAATGCAATTCTTCGGGTAGTGGCTAAGCGCGACACCAGTGTTTCTTTCAGACTTTTTCCTCCACGGAGAGGGGTGAGGGTACTTGAAATTTTCGGGGGCGGGGTTAGAATTTTCGGGGAGGGGGCGGACACTGGAAAAAGTATATAATTATATTTCGTTGAATGGGACGGTAGACATGTTTTTTAGGGGAGTGGGGGGGGGGGGGGTGGGGGGTGGGGGGGGGTGGTGTGTGGGGGGTGGGGTGGTTTTAGTTTAGACTTTTTCCTCCCCGGAGAGGGGTGGGGGTACTTGAAATTTTCGGGGGCGGGGGTAGAATTTTCGGAGAGGGGGCGGACACTGGAAAAAGTATATAATTATATTTCGTTGAATGGGACGGTATACATGTTTTTTGGGGTGTGGGGGTGGGGGGGGTGGGGGGGGGTGTGTGTGTGGGTGGGGGGTGGTGTGTGTGGGGGTGTGGGGTGGGTGGGGGGGTGTGGGGGGGTGGTTTTAGTTTAGAGAAAAGAGACAGCACTATCAGCCTAGCGCCCGTTGTATCCTTCCTCAACGGGCCATTTTCCTCGTATTAAATATTAATGGCTGTATGTCTATATTAAACTGTAATGTTAATGGTTGTATGTCTTTGATAAACTGTTATATTAATGGCTGTATGTCTATGTTAAAATGTTATGTTGATAGTTTTATGTCTATGTTAAAATGATATGTTCATGCCTGTATGTCTATCAATGTTAAACTGTTATGTTCATGTCTGTATGTCTTTCTCTGTTAAGCTGTTATGTTCATGCCTGTATGTCTATCAATGTTAAACTGTTATGTTCATGCCTGTATGTCTATGTTAAACTGTTATGTTCATGCCTGTATGTCTATGTTAAACTGTTATGTGCATGCCTGTATGTCTATCAATGTTAAACTGTTATGTTCATGCCTGTATGTCTATGTTAAACTGTTATGTTCATGCCTGTATGTCTATGTTAAACTGTTATGTTCATGCCTGTATTTCTATGTTAAACTGTTATGTTCATGCCTGTATTTCTATGTTAAACTGTTATGTTCATGCCTGTATTTCTAAGTTAAACTGTTATGTTCATGCCTGTATGTCTATCAATGTTAAACTGTTATGTTCATGACTGTATGTCTATCAATGTTAAGCTGTTATGTTCATGCATGTATGTGTATGTTAAACTGTTATGTTCATGCCTGTATGTCTATGTTAAGCTGTTATGTACATGGTTGTATGTATGTCTATGTTAAGCTGTTATGTTCATGCCTGTATGTCTATGTTAAGCTGTTATGTTCATGCCTGTATGTCTATGTTAAACTGTTATGTGCATGCCTGTATGTCTATGTTAAGCTGTTATGTTCATGCCTGTATGTCTATGTTAAGCTGTTATGTTCATGCCTGTATGTCTATGTTAAGCTGTTATGTTAATGGATCTCCTGTTACTGACCCAAATCAAGAGTCCTAGTTAGGTGAACGATTCATGGTTCAATGCACATGTTGTTGATTCAGCTTCAGTGTTGCAATAGGGCCATCAAAAGTTAACTTAAAAAGAATAATTGACACTGGTAACGAAACAAAAGTCAACTTAAAAAGAATAATTCTCACTGGGAACGAAACAAAAGTTAAGTCCCAGCTGTCTGTCCAAGATCGAGGTAAATGGGTGTCCTCCAATGCTCTGTCCAGTCAGGTAGGTATTCAGCCTACAGAATTATTGCTCCATACACATTCCCTTTTGGACCTTGCCGCCCACACGAGACAGGTGAAGTAGAGTTTATCTGTTTCTACACCACAACAGGTGACATTTCTACCACCCCTCATTTAATATCTAACATTTTCGTAGACTATCATTATCAACATCACTCCTGTTGACCCTTTGTGGAGCATAGGAAAGCAACCACACCTCTTTATCGTACTCGGTTCTGGGCGATCCCTTCAAGTTGGGCCCACGTCATTCCGGCTGTTTCTGCTTCACTGATAGCTGACCTTAATTGTTTTGGCTTGCCTACTTTCCTCTTTCCTTGGGGATTCCAATCAGTGTTTCTTCCAGACTTTTTTCTCCGGGGGGGGGGGGGGGGCGCTTGAAATTTTCGGGGGGTGGGGAGACTTTTCTCGGGAGGGGGGGGGGGGCGGACATTGGGTGGGGGGGGGGCGGTAGACTTTCTTTGGGGGGGGGGGGGCTCTGCCTGGAAGAAACTCTGTTTATGGAGGGTGCGCCCAATCCAAAATACAAAAGCGTAAAATGGGAATGGATTGGACACAAAAGTTCAACACTATCAAGAACCAATTAGCCCCCCCCCCACCCCCATGCCAACTTCAACACACTTTAGCCTACTGCCTCAAGAAACAAGTTCCATTTTAATTAAACTTGGGATCACACAAATGTCACTTGATATTTTCGGGGAAGGGGGAATGGGCGGACGACGATGCCACTGGTAAAGTATATATTTTCTATATAAATTTCATTTCGATCGCCCCCCCCCCCCCCCCCCCCCCCCCCTGAAGAGATGCTTGGAAAAAACTCTGAATCTAACCTCTCTGTTTGATAGGATGCATAAAACATCTAAGTTAGGCTAAATGCTCAGCGATGTGATTTATTGGCTTTTAAACAAATAACACAAATAACCCCCATCAAACACATAACAAACCATAACCAATAATTAATCAGCCACAAATAAGGTGTTATAACACTTAACATAAACCTCTCTACATAGATAGATACCCGTGGCCTTGAATGTGAAGTGAGTAGTCGTCTATACTTATTAAAAAAAAAAAATTGTAATAATTAATAATCATTAACTACCACAGCATATCGCTAAATAAAGGTGATTAATTGTATTCAGTAGGCCTTTAAGGTGGCTAATGTGGTTAGTTATAACTATGCTAGGTACCCGAAAGAGCTGGGTAAACCCCGCGATATTCTTCAGACAACTAATGAACTTAGCATTTAGCCACATATCCCAAATGAAGCCTATTTTAGTATTCATAGTTTCAGCTATCAAGTGATGTCTCGTGTTTTAATTAAAATACCTGACATTTCATTAAGCTCTTGATTAGGCCGCAGTACTTTTTGATTAATTCAATTAGACGCAACTGTTTAATTATGATCGATTTAACTCTACTAACGTGAGCTCTTTGGTCAAATTAAATTCAATGGAAATATTCGAGTAGAGAGGCTTTCTATGGAGAAAACGATCTTCCAACTACCTGTTAACTGTAATCACCAGTGGTGGATTAACTGAAGGGGCTGATTGAGCCACGGTCTGGGGCCCTAGAATTAATAGTGTTATTAAATATGTGTAAGACAATCCAGAGATAAACAAACCACATGGTCCATATTGTAAGCATACAAAACGAACACAAATATCAACATAAAGCAACAAAGCATGCAACATATGTTTCTAGCCATAAAGTTCATTACCACATTTAACAGTTCAACAATATGTTGCCCACGGTGTTACTGTGTACATTTAGCTCAGTATTTTAGTGGACCGACCATTAAACACAAAACTTTGTTTTTATTCGCGTGACCTGGCGAAAAAGTTCAGGATAAGAGGAATTCTATCTTAGAATGTGTTTCATTTTGTTCATGCATAACGTTAGAATAGTTTCAACGAATTTTCCTGTAGTTAGATATTTTTTGAAAATTTTTACAACGCATAACCAAAGATTAAAATCTATATTGTATAATACGTTTTTACGTTTGACTTTTTAATTTTTTCTGAGAATGCCGTTTGATACCAGGTATCTAGAACTAGATCTGGAGCTAAGAAACTCAGCTGTTAAAAGTGATTACATTCATAGTGGCGTGAATAGTTCTGTTCGTGACAAGAATCCTCCTCCTTCGATCGCAGCACCAGAAGAATATAAGTGTAAGGTGAATGGAGAAAATGAGACTAGCAAAGTCAAAGAGGATGTAGAGGCTGTTGATTCAGTAAAAAGGAAAATATGTACTGGATGCTCCAGGTCTGAGAAACCTGGACTGTGTGAGAACCACTGGACCGATGGCATGGCTACTGAAAGATTGGCTGCACTCATCCATAGCAACCAGATGTCTGGTAACCTTATCCATAGCAACCAGATAACTGAGAGCCTCAACCATAGCAACCAGATAACTGACAGCCTCAACCATAGCAACCAGATGTCTGGTAACCTTATCCATAGCAACCAGATAACTGAGAGCCTCAACCATAGCAACCAGATAACTGACAGCCTCAACCATAGCAACCAGATGTCTGGTAACCTCATCCATAGCAACCAGATAACTGAGAGCCTCAACCATAGCAACCAGATAACTGACAGCCTCAACCATAGCAACCAGATGTCTGGTAACCTTATCCATAGCAACCAGATAACTGACAGCCTCAACCATAGCAACCACATAACTGAGAGCCTCAACCATAGCAACCAAATGTCTGGTAACCTCATCCATAGCAACCAGATAACTGACAGCCTCAACCATAGCAACCAGATGTCTGGTAACCTTATCCATAGCAACCAGATAACTGACAGCCTCAACCATAGCAACCACATAACTGAGAGCCTCAACCATAGCAACCAGATGTCTGGTAACCTTATCCATAGCAACCAGATAACTGACAGCCTCAACCATAGCAACCACATAACTGACAGCCTCAACCATAGCAACCAGATGTCTGGTAACCTCATCCATAGCAACCAGATAACTGACAGCCTCAACCATAGCAACCAGATAACTGACAGCCTCAACCATAGCAACCAGATACCTGACAACCACAGCTCTAGCATCCAGATGACTTCAAACCGAACCCCTGAAAATCAGCCTACTTACAACCTTACCTCTAAGAATCAAACGACCGACACCCCACCCACTTTGCAATACCCTTGTGAGGACACACCCCTAGAACCACCAACAAGCGATCAAAAGACATACATGTCCAGCCTACCACGGACTAAAAAAGTGATTTTAATTCTTCTTCTCGTCGCTTTCTTCTCTGCGGGATGTGGGTTCTCTCTACCCGCGCCTTTCTTCCCACAAGAGGTAAGCGATTCGTACTTATGTTTTTTCATTACATATTGATAACCTCACATGTCATCCATATCATTATATTAAAAAAAAAACATAAACTACGGTTGAATTACAATACTCTAAAAGAAGGGTTGGGTGGTAGAGCTCACGAAGATCTCGAGTTCAGATCTAGGACGTCTTTGAGTCCACTCAGCTCTGATGAGTACTCATCTCACGTTAGGGAAATGAAGTCAGCTGACCAACTATCTCCTTATTTGCCAAGGTCAGTGAAACAGACGAACATTACTTCATCTGCCCATGTGTCTTGGGCACGAAGGGAAAAGATGATGATTAAAAATAAAAGCTCATTTTTTTTTTCTAATACAGGCAGAAATCAAAGGCGTCTCCAACACTGTGATTGGGCTGATATTTAGCACGTATGAATTCATGATCTTCCTGTCTTCTCCGTTGTATGGTAACTATGTAAGTCAGGCTTAAACTTCAACTTTATTTTTTTATGTTGAAATTATCTGAATAATCATAAAAAAAATAAACAATATAATGATGATAAATGATTTTTTAAAACTGGCAGTTGATGAAAATAGGGCCAAAGTTCATGTTGGTGTCCGGAACTATTGTTGCTGGAACATGTTCTATCCTGTTTGGGTAAGTATACAAATGTATGGTGGAATCTGGAAATCTTGTTGCAAGAATGTGTTCTGCTCTGTTAGGGTAGGTATAAAAATGTGGCGTGCTGCAGACGCTAAACTCTGAAAATAGAGGTACGGTATGTTTAGAAAGCAGTGTCTCTTTCAGACTCTTTTCTCCGTAGTGGAGGAGGGGGGGGGGGGAGGGGGCAGCACGGACTAAATTTTTCGGGGGCGGATACTGATAAACGTATATATTTTCTATACGAATTCCATTTCGGTCGGGGGGGGGGGGGGTGTGATGTGCAAACGGACGGCCAGTAGACATTCTTCGGAGTGGGGGGAGGGTCGGGTCCGGTCGGGGGGCTGCCCCCCCCCCCTCCCCCCGAAGATATCCCTGGAAGAAACTGTTAGAAAGTAGAGCTCAAGACTGCTTCAAGGTCTCGAATTTGTATTCAAAGGAATGTTTCTGAGTCTACCCAGCTCTAATGAGTACCTGACTAAGATAGGGAAAGTAAATGCGGCTGAACATTAAGCACATATTATCCATAAATAAAAATGTCACAGAAACAGGTGAGTACTACTTCACCTACCCTAACTGCCGAAAATTTAACATTTTGCTCAGAGAAATTGTGTTAGTTACAACAAAAACCAAAAGCGACTAAGTTTTTGTATTTTTAAAATTAGACTACTATAATTATACGTGGTTATGTTCGTGTTATGAAGTACTGATTTTTATATACACAATAATGATTACACTATTATTATTTTTCCAGTCTATTGGACATGTGTCCAAAAGGAGACGTGTTTATAGCACTTTGCTTTGCTTGTCGATCTATCGAGGCCTTAGCGATATCGGCCCTTTTAGCCTCTGGATTTGCGATTATTTCAAATGAGTTCCCACAGAATGTGGCCACGAGTTTTGTAAGTGTTTACAGTAATTTAACGGAGATGTGCTGGGGGAGAGTGGGGAGCAGTGTTTCTTCCAGACTTTTTTCTCCGGGGGGGGGCACTTGAAATCTTCGGGGGGGGGGGGGGGGTGGTAAACTTTCTTCGGGGGGGGCGGACACTGTTAAAAGTATATATTTTCTATATTAATTATATAAATTTCATTTCGTTCGGGGGAGGGGGGGCGGTAAAAAAATTTCGGGGGGGGGGGGGGGGGCGTTTTGTAATATGCAGAGGCGTAGCGAGGGGGGGGCGGGGGTACATATGTTTTCGGGCGCCGGCCTTAGGGAACGCCAAAATGGGTTGGAGAAACAAATTAAAATATCATTTTAGCTGCAGTTTTGCATTATAAATATAAAAAAAAATATATGGGGGGTGGGGTGGGTGGTGCAAATGGAAAGTTTAAGGGGGGGGGGGGTGCAAATTGAAAATTGAAAGGTTGTTCCTGAGGGGGGCGCACAATTTAAAATTTGTGCTCGGGCACCGGGAAGGGGCGCTACGCCTCTGTGAGAATGTGTAAAGGGGCGTAGTGGTAGGGATGACAAATTGTTATCTATGGATGCTCCTTAGACATGTTCGTCCTATGCTCTGGGTTACAAGTAATGGGAGATTGTTTTTGTTGCAGGCGGTCCTAGAAATGTCTGATGGTGCTGGTCTAATGGTAGGGCCCGCGGTTGGTGGTTTCTTATTTCAGGTCAGCTATTTTTAGATTTATCTGATTTTTAGATTTATGTAGAATAAATTAACGGATTACAATGGAATAGTGCATATCTTAATATACGAAAATAAATATTTTAATATAAATATAAGGCTTTAGTTAAGATTAGTCATCGCAAGGCAGCAAGATGGAATTCATAAAGATTTATTTTTTTATAACTTAGGTAAATTGAAACTTTATATGAATTGAAATAGTGTAGAGCAGAGTTTCTTCCAGGCATCTCTTCGGGGGGTGGGGGGTGGGGGGGGTGGGTGAGTCTTCCGGAAAAAAGTCTACCGCCCCCCCCCCCCCCCCCGAACGAAATGAAATTCATATAGAAAATATATACTTGTAACAGTGCCCGCCCCCACGAAGAAAGTCTACCGCCCCCCCCCCCTCCGAAAATATTAAGTGCCCCCCCCCCCCCCCCCCCGGAGAAAAAAAGTCTGGAAGAAACACTGGTGTAGAGTTTCTGAAAATTATTATCTACTACTAATTAAGTAAACGGTACTATTTGTGAAACTTTGATAAAAAAATTGGATGGGTTATATTCTATTTTGAATTTAGAATTAATTTTTTAAATATAGCTTTACAATGATAATTGCAGATTGGTGGATACGGCCTACCGTTTTTTGTTGTTGGGTCTCTGAATTTATTTGTGGGTACAGTTGTGCATTTCTTGTTACCAGTTCCTCAAGGTGAGTGGCTATAAATAACTCAGGTCATCGCTTGTAATTAAGGTTCAATTAAGGTTAAATTAGGGTTTAATTAAGGTTGAATCAAGGTTGAATTACGGTTGAATTAAGGTTGAATTAAGGTTGAATTAAGGTTGAATTAAGGTTTAATTAAGGTTGAATTACGGTTGGTGTGCACAGGGGTCAGCGTAGTTCAGGTCAGTAAAGCTCATGGCTGTTAATCCATGGTTCCGAGTTCGAACCCACGGGCAGATGACGCTCGATAGCTGGGGACAGCAATCCATCTAGGAGAAAAAAATCCCAAAATCAAATAGCTGCCTAGAGACCCAAAAAGAAAAGTAGACGGAAATCGGAGTTGTGGCCTATATGGCGCATACAGGTCGACATCGTAATGCTTTTCCGGAGGATGTTATGAATAAGATAGAAGACGAAGAAAGAGAAGATGAAGAAATACTCTTTCTTTTAAAAGGATTTAAATGTTAAAATAGTTTTAGATATTGACCGTGAACCACTCCCTCAAAGGAAAGAGAATTCATATATAAATATCTACTTTTACCATAAAAATGCTACAAGTGCCTAGACCCCACGGAAAAAAATAATTCTGAAAGAAACACTAATCATACGTTTATTCATCACTGCTACCCCACATATTCTGCACATACTGTATAGTTTAGTGCATTCGGTGTTCAGCTTGTTGATGATATTTATGTCACTTCCTATGCCGAGGTCAAGTAACATATGAACTCTACTTCATCTGCCCTATGGAGCATTAAGATTGAAGAGAGAACTGTAATTTTAAGAGTTCATTGTTTTATTATTAAAAATAAAAGAATAAAAAACTTACCATAACAGCTTATTAATCTATTCCGACTTGTTTACAAATCATTCCAAATCATTCCAAATATTTCCAAAGTAATTAGATCTTAATTAAATTCTTAATTAAAGTCCTAATAGGGGCCTGTAATATGTTAGAGCAGGAATCAGTATTGTATTCCTTTCATTCAACACATTTAAACGTTTTGAATGTTTTTAAAATAATAAAAACATCCTATGTTGTTTGAATGATCTAACAGGAATGAAGGACGAAAGAAAAGGCAGCATATTTTCCCTGCTGAAGCACCCTATGGTGTGGTTTACTGGTGCCAGTATCATCATTTGTGCCGTGGGGGTGTCGTTCCTAGACCCCACACTGGCTAAACATTTAGAACAGGTAATACGGTATTTGAAGAGATTGGTCCCTTGGTAGTCTAGTGAGCGTAGTTAAAAACAAAACCCTGAGATGGTATGGGCATGTCTCATACACAAACGGGCTATCAAAAACAATATTGCAAGGCAATGTGCCAAGAGAGAGAAGGGAGGGCAAAGACGATATTGGATAGACATGGGACACACACACACACATACACACACACACACATACAGACACACGCACATACACACAAACACACACACATACATACATACATACATACATACATACATACACACGCAGACACACTCGTGCACACATATATACAGACACACAGGCGCACACACACACACGTAAATACACACACTCACACATGCACTCTCTCTCACACATATATGTAAAAAATTTCGAGTAGAATTAAAAAAATAAAATACAGAATTCTGTAAAAAGAACAAAAGTCTATACATAAGATATGTGAGATTATGCAGAAAATATAACAGTTCGTAAGTGACTTTGAAATGTTTGTGATTTCAGTTCAACCTATCGACTTCACTTATAGGCCTGATGTTTGTCATTACTCCATGTTTGTATGCAGTGACGTCACCGGTGTGGGGGAGGATCAGTGACTCAATGGTATTTTATCAATGTTAAGTGTATGCATATTAATAGAATCCATATGCCATTATCATCATCATCATCATCACAACCATCATCATCTTCATCATCATCATCATCATCATCTTTATCATCATCTTTATCATCATCTTCATAATCATTAGCATCATCATTATTATTATCATCACCATCATCACCATCATCACCATCATCATCGTCAGAAGCATCATCCTTATCACTATCATCATCTTAAATTATCATCAGTATCGGATACAAATGAATGCAACATCTATCCAACGTACTCGGATTTAAACGATTTCTCCATGTTACGTCAATGTCATTCGGGTTGCTTGCACTTTGTTAAAAAATAAACAATGCCGTGTTTGTTTTGGTCTAGTACTAAACATTCTGTGTGTCTATAAATCTAATGCCTGTCTTGTGATGTTTTTAGCCGGTTTGTTCAGTTGTTGATGTTCTGATGTTCATTATGAGAGTCTAGCATCTATTAACGTACGTCTAAATTTTGGCTAATAGTTAGTGTTACTCTATCTCCTTATCTCAGAACTATAGAGGAGAATAGATTCCACTTTCCTGTTAGATTACGTCATATCTTAGGAAGTGAAGTTCATTTTCTGAACGTAACTAGCCTTGATGATATTGCTTTCGATTTCGCAATCTGTTGCATATTAAGCAGCCGCTTTATATCACGTTTTGGATTTAAATTAAATCTATATATACTTCAGTAGGCTTATAAATGTCATGTTAAGTCCAATGAACTTGTCTAAAAATTGTTGTAATGCCTAGATTTCTATCTAGGAGAATATGAATCACTATATCTGGAAACTCGTAAAAATAATGTCCATTTTTTTTTAACTTTCAGAATATAAACGGCACTTTGATAACCCTGGGTAACCTGATGTGTGGGTTAGGGTTACTGGTTGTGGGACCTAGTCCATTTTTACCTTTCTTACCTGTGTGAGTTTTAAATAATTCCTTAAATGAGACATTTTTTGCCTCAAAAAAGTTTCATATTTTTGTACGGCTAAGACATTTAAAAGAAAAAAAAACAACTTTAAAATGTGTGAAGGTAGTTTGAAAATTTCGTTTTGTACTTATAAAATAAAATAGTTTTAATTTTTTAAAACAAATCTATTTTTCAGAGAATTGTGGGTCATTATTTTAGGTCTGGTTATACTGGGATTTTTCTATGCCCTCGCCATTGTACCTACTATGAACTGCTTGCTGATTGGCGCAATGTGAGTCAGGTGACTTCATTTAATATACAAACCTACATTTTAATTTAATATTTTTAAAAACATTTTATTTGAAATATACCAATATTTAAATTACAAATTACAATTACTGCACGTATATCATACACAAAACACAAAAACCACGTGGTCTAGTTCACCCAGAGGCGTAGCGACCCTTTCGGTTTGCACCCTCCCCTCAAACTTTCGATTTACACCCCCGCTCAAACTTTCGATTTACTTCCCCCTCGAACTTTTGATTTACACACCCCCCTTAAACTTTCAATTTGTTTTTCCAACCCATTTTGGCATATGTCCCCCCCTCGCCCCCCCCCCCCCCCGCTACGCCTCTGAGTCCACCGCTCGACCACACTGCCCCACTCTATAGACTGCTCGACCATTCTGCCTAACTCTTTCGACCGTTTGACCACCATCCTCTCCTATTCTACCTTTCTAAACAAAATTCTCCTTGGTCATTTTCTTTATCTCACTCCAAAATTCCAGCAGTGTTTCTTTCATGTATCACGCCGGGGGAAGGTTGGGGGGGGGGGGAACCTTCGAACTTTCCTAGGGCCACTTTACCACTCTCAACCTACCTAAATAGAAAAATATATGCCTGTATCATTTTGTTAGAGTCCGCGCTAGTAAATCTCACGCATTACACATTCATTTATAAAGTTAATTAACTAAACATCAACTTTTAAAATAATTATCCACAGTGAGCTGGGCTTTGAAAACAACCTGGAGACGTACGGCATTGTTGTTGGGCTATTTAATTCTATTTACTACCTGGGGTAAGTCAAAGTAAAATCTAAAACAAATTTGTATTAAAATGGTACATCTGACAGATCAGGTTAAATTTACCAACATCGTAAAAGCCAGACCCCCCCCCTTCCCTACCAAAAAAAGCATCAATTTCTTTCTGAAATATTGACTGAGCTCTGTCAACATAGAGGATATTTAATTGATTGCTAACAAAATTTACCAAAACTGTCCGAAAATTTTTCAACTACCCAATATAAATCTGTTGCAGTGCAGATTTGACAGATTGAGGTGTGGGAGGTTTGTATTTTCAGAAGTTTCAAACATTAGTCATGAATGTTTATTTTTTGATATTATTGTTATTATTTATCATATATATATATATATATATATATATATATATATATATATATATATATATATATATATATATATAAAGCAAAGTGGTCGGGTGCCCGATAGGGCACTTCCCGGCGCCGCAGGCGCGTCAAATTTGGCACGAAGGTGCCTTATGGCGATGGAACACGAGGGCCGGTGACGGTTCGGCAAAAAGTCTACGGAGAGGGGGTCAAAACTGACCTCGACTGACCGGCGCCTTATATGGGCTATATTACGAAAAAAAAATTCCTCCGACGACCCCCCTTGAAATTTTGTGAGGTGGTAGGAGAACACCTTGGGGTGTCACAAAAAACTCGGCATATCTGGGAAAACTTCGTAAAGGTGTCAAAACTGACCAGTTGTATTTCCCTATATAATCTTTGTATTTTATGGGAAAAACAGAGGGTCATTTCAACGCAGACTTTAGGGTACTTAAGCTCAGTATATCTGGCTAATTTTTTGCATACTCTTAGGTGAATGGCTTGACCTTTAGGGAAAACTGTCGGTTTGACTCAAAGCCCTCGACGAGGGCTAAAAAGTGACCGCGAGTGAAATTCTCTTTATATGAGCTCTATTACGAAAAAAAAATTCCTCCGACGACCCCCCTTGAAATTTTGTGAGGTGGTAGGAGAACACCTTGGGGTGTCACAAAAAACTCGGCATATCTGGGAAATTTTCGTAAAGGGGTCAAAACTGACCAGTTGTATTTCCCTATATAATCTTTGTATTTTATGGGAAAAACAGAGGGTCATTTCGACGCAGACTTTAGGATACTTAAGCTCAGTATATCTGGCTAATTTTTTGCATGCTCCTAGGTCAATGGGTTGTCCTGTAGGGAAAACTGTCGGTTACACTCAAAGCCCTCGACGAGGGCTAAAAAGTGACCGCGAGTGAAATTCTCTTTATATGAGCTCTATTACGAAAAAAAATTTCCTCCGACGACCCCCCTTGATATTTTGTAAGGTGGTAGTAGAACGCCTTGGGGTGTCACAAAAAACTCGCCATGTCCGGGAAAAATCGGGAAATGGGTCAAAACTGACCAGTCGTATTTCCCTATATAATCTTTGTATTTTATGGGGAAAACAGAGGGTCATCTCAAAACGGATTTTATGGCACTTACCCTCTTTACATCTGGCTCAGTTTTGGCATGCTTATAGGTAAATGACTTGAACTTTAGGGAAAACTGTCGGTTACACTCAAAGCCCTCGACGAGGGCTAAAAAGTGACCGCGAGTGAAATTCTCTTTATATGAGCTCTATTACGAAAAAAAAATTCCTCCGACGACCCCCCTTGAAATTTTGTGAGGTGGTAGGAGAACACCTTGGGGTGTCACAAAAAACTCGGCATATCTGGGAAATTTTCGTAAAGGGGTCAAAACTGACCAGTTGTATTTCCCTATATAATCTTTGTATTTTATGGGAAAAACAGAGGGTCATTTCGACGCAGACTTTAGGATACTTAAGCTCAGTATATCTGGCTAATTTTTTGCATGCTCCTAGGTCAATGGGTTGTCCTGTAGGGAAAACTGTCGGTTACACTCAAAGCCCTCGACGAGGGCTAAAAAGTGACCGCGAGTGAAATTCTCTTTATATGAGCTTTATTACGAAAAAAAATTTCCTCCGACGACCCCCCTTGAAATTTTGTGAGGTGGTAGGAGAACACCTTGGGGTGTCACAAAAAACTCGGCATATCTGGGAAATTTTCGTAAAGGGGTCAAAACTGACCAGTTGTATTTCCCTATATAATCTTTGTATTTTATGGGAAAAACAGAGGGTCATTTCAACGCAGACTTTAGGATACTTAAGCTTAGTATATCTGGCTAATTTTTTGCATGCTCCTAGGTCAATGGCTTGACCGTTAGGGGAAACTGTCGGTTACACTCAAAGCCCTCGACGAGGGCTAAAAAGTGACAGCAAGTGAAATTCTCTTAATATGAGCTCTATTACGAAAAAAAAATTCCTCCGACGACCCCCCTTGAAATTTTGTGAGGTGGTAGGAGAACACCTTGGGGTGTCACAAAAAACTCGGCATATCTGGGAAAACTTCGTAAAGGGGTCAAAACTGACCAGTTGTATTTCCCTATATAATCTTTGTATTTTATGGGGAAAACAGAGGGTCATTTCAAAACGGATTTTAGGGCACTTACCTTCTTTACACCTGGCTAAGTTTTGGCATGCTTATAGGAAAATGGCTTGGCCGTAGGGCTGACCTGTCGGTTTCACTCATGCCCTCGACGAGGGCTAAAAAGTGACCGCGAGTAAAATTCTCTTTATATGAGCTATATTACGAAAAAAAATTTCCTCCGACGACCCCCCTTGAAATTTTGTGAGGTGGTAGGAGAACGCCTAGGGGTGTCACAAAAAACTCGGCATATCTCGGAAACATCGGGAAGTTGGTCAAAACTGACCAGTCGAATTTCCCTATATAATCTTTGTATTTTATGGGAAAAACAGAGGGTCATTTCAAAACGGATTTTAGGGCACTTACCCTCTTTACATCTCGCTAATTTTCGGCATGTTTATAGGTCAATGGCTTGGCCGTACGGCTGACCTGTCAGTTTCACTCAAAGCCCTCGACGAATGCTAAAAAGTGACCGCGAGTGAAATTCTCTTTATATGAGCTCTATTACGAAAAAAAAATTCCTCCGACGACCCCCCTTGAAATTTTGTAAGGTGGTAGGAGAACACCTTGGGATGTCACAAAAAACTCGGCATATCTGGGAAAACTTTGTAAAGCGGTCAAAACTGACCAGTTGTATTTCCCTATATAATCTTTGTATTTTATGGGAAAAACAGAGGGTCATTTCAAAACGGATTTTAGGGCACTTACCTTCTTTACATCTCGCTAATTTTCGGCATGTTTATATGTAAATAGCTTGGCCGTACGGCTGACCTGTCAGTTTCACTCAAAGCCCTCGACGAGGGCTAAAAAGTGACCGCGAATGAAATTCTCTTTATATGAGCTCTATTACGGAAAAAAATTCCTCCGACGACCCCCCTTGATATTTTGTGAGGTGGTAGGAGAATGCCTTGGGGTGTCACAAAAAACTCGGCATATCTGGGAAAACTTCGTAAAGCGGTCAAAACTGACCAGTTGTATTTCCCTATATAATCTTTGTATTTTATGGGAAAAACAGAGGGTCATTTCAACGCAGACTTTAGGGTACTTAAACTCAGTATATTTGGCTAATTTTTTGCATGCTCCTAGGTCAATGGCTTGACCTTTAGGGAAAACTGTCGGTTACACTCAAAGCCCTCGACGAGGGCTAAAAAGAGACCGCGAGTGAAATTCTCTTTATATGAGCTCTATTACGAAAAAAAATTTCCTCCGACGACCCCCCTTGATATTTTGTGAGGTGGTAGAAGAACACCTAGGGGTGTCAGAAAAAACTCGGCATATCTGGGAAAACTTTGTAAAGCGGTCAAAACTGACCAGTTGTATTTCCCTATATAATCTTTGTATTTTATGGGAAAAACAGAGGGTCATTTCAAAACGGATTTTAGGGCACTTACCCTCTTTACATCTCGCAAATTTTCGGCATGTTTATAGGTAAATAGCTTGGCCGTACGGCTGACCTGTCAGTTTCACTCAAAGCCCTCGACGAGGGCTAAAAAGTGACCGCGAGTGAAATTCTCTTTATATGAGCTATATTACGGAAAAAAATTTCCTCCGACGACCCCCCTTGAAATTTTGTGAGGTGGTAGGAGAACGCCTAGGGGTGTCACAAAAAACTCGGAATATCTCGGAAAAATCGGGAAGTGGGTCAAAACTGACCAGTCGTATTTCCCTATATAATCTTTGTATTTTATGGGAAAAACAGAGGGTCATTTCAAAACGGATTTTAGGGCACTTACCTTCTTTACATCTCGCTAATTTTCGGCATGTTTATATGTAAATAGCTTGGCCGTACGGCTGACCTGTCAGTTTCACTCAAAGCCCTCGACGAGGGCTAAAAAGTGACCGCGAGTGAAATTCTCTTTATATGAGCTCTATTACGGAAAAAAATTTCCTCCGACGACCCCCCTTGATATTTTGTGAGGTGGTAGGAGAATGCCTTGGGGTGTCACAAAAAACTCGGCATATCTGGGAAATTTTCGTAAAGGGGTCAAAACTGACCAGTTGTATTTCCCTATATAATCTTTGTATTTTATGGGAAAAACAGAGGGTCATTTCGACGCAGACTTTAGGATACTTAAGCTCAGTATATCTGGCTAATTTTTTGCATGCTCCTAGGTCAATGGGTTGTCCTGTAGGGAAAACTGTCGGTTACACTCAAAGCCCTCGACGAGGGCTAAAAAGTGACCGCGAGTGAAATTCTCTTTATATGAGCTTTATTACGAAAAAAAATTTCCTCCGACGACCCCCCTTGAAATTTTGTGAGGTGGTAGGAGAACACCTTGGGGTGTCACAAAAAACTCGGCATATCTGGGAAATTTTCGTAAAGGGGTCAAAACTGACCAGTTGTATTTCCCTATATAATCTTTGTATTTTATGGGAAAAACAGAGGGTCATTTCAACGCAGACTTTAGGATACTTAAGCTTAGTATATCTGGCTAATTTTTTGCATGCTCCTAGGTCAATGGCTTGACCGTTAGGGGAAACTGTCGGTTACACTCAAAGCCCTCGACGAGGGCTAAAAAGTGACAGCAAGTGAAATTCTCTTAATATGAGCTCTATTACGAAAAAAAAATTCCTCCGACGACCCCCCTTGAAATTTTGTGAGGTGGTAGGAGAACACCTTGGGGTGTCACAAAAAACTCGGCATATCTGGGAAAACTTCGTAAAGGGGTCAAAACTGACCAGTTGTATTTCCCTATATAATCTTTGTATTTTATGGGGAAAACAGAGGGTCATTTCAAAACGGATTTTAGGGCACTTACCTTCTTTACACCTGGCTAAGTTTTGGCATGCTTATAGGAAAATGGCTTGGCCGTAGGGCTGACCTGTCGGTTTCACTCATGCCCTCGACGAGGGCTAAAAAGTGACCGCGAGTAAAATTCTCTTTATATGAGCTATATTACGAAAAAAAATTTCCTCCGACGACCCCCCTTGAAATTTTGTGAGGTGGTAGGAGAACGCCTAGGGGTGTCACAAAAAACTCGGCATATCTCGGAAACATCGGGAAGTTGGTCAAAACTGACCAGTCGAATTTCCCTATATAATCTTTGTATTTTATGGGAAAAACAGAGGGTCATTTCAAAACGGATTTTAGGGCACTTACCCTCTTTACATCTCGCTAATTTTCGGCATGTTTATAGGTCAATGGCTTGGCCGTACGGCTGACCTGTCAGTTTCACTCAAAGCCCTCGACGAATGCTAAAAAGTGACCGCGAGTGAAATTCTCTTTATATGAGCTCTATTACGAAAAAAAAATTCCTCCGACGACCCCCCTTGAAATTTTGTAAGGTGGTAGGAGAACACCTTGGGATGTCACAAAAAACTCGGCATATCTGGGAAAACTTTGTAAAGCGGTCAAAACTGACCAGTTGTATTTCCCTATATAATCTTTGTATTTTATGGGAAAAACAGAGGGTCATTTCAAAACGGATTTTAGGGCACTTACCTTCTTTACATCTCGCTAATTTTCGGCATGTTTATATGTAAATAGCTTGGCCGTACGGCTGACCTGTCAGTTTCACTCAAAGCCCTCGACGAGGGCTAAAAAGTGACCGCGAATGAAATTCTCTTTATATGAGCTCTATTACGGAAAAAAATTCCTCCGACGACCCCCCTTGATATTTTGTGAGGTGGTAGGAGAATGCCTTGGGGTGTCACAAAAAACTCGGCATATCTGGGAAAACTTCGTAAAGCGGTCAAAACTGACCAGTTGTATTTCCCTATATAATCTTTGTATTTTATGGGAAAAACAGAGGGTCATTTCAACGCAGACTTTAGGGTACTTAAACTCAGTATATTTGGCTAATTTTTTGCATGCTCCTAGGTCAATGGCTTGACCTTTAGGGAAAACTGTCGGTTACACTCAAAGCCCTCGACGAGGGCTAAAAAGAGACCGCGAGTGAAATTCTCTTTATATGAGCTCTATTACGAAAAAAAATTTCCTCCGACGACCCCCCTTGATATTTTGTGAGGTGGTAGAAGAACACCTAGGGGTGTCAGAAAAAACTCGGCATATCTGGGAAAACTTTGTAAAGCGGTCAAAACTGACCAGTTGTATTTCCCTATATAATCTTTGTATTTTATGGGAAAAACAGAGGGTCATTTCAAAACGGATTTTAGGGCACTTACCCTCTTTACATCTCGCAAATTTTCGGCATGTTTATAGGTAAATAGCTTGGCCGTACGGCTGACCTGTCAGTTTCACTCAAAGCCCTCGACGAGGGCTAAAAAGTGACCGCGAGTGAAATTCTCTTTATATGAGCTATATTACGGAAAAAAATTTCCTCCGACGACCCCCCTTGAAATTTTGTGAGGTGGTAGGAGAACGCCTAGGGGTGTCACAAAAAACTCGGAATATCTCGGAAAAATCGGGAAGTGGGTCAAAACTGACCAGTCGTATTTCCCTATATAATCTTTGTATTTTATGGGAAAAACAGAGGGTCATTTCAAAACGGATTTTAGGGCACTTACCTTCTTTACATCTCGCTAATTTTCGGCATGTTTATATGTAAATAGCTTGGCCGTACGGCTGACCTGTCAGTTTCACTCAAAGCCCTCGACGAGGGCTAAAAAGTGACCGCGAGTGAAATTCTCTTTATATGAGCTCTATTACGGAAAAAAATTTCCTCCGACGACCCCCCTTGATATTTTGTGAGGTGGTAGGAGAATGCCTTGGGGTGTCACAAAAAACTCGGCATATCTGGGAAATTTTCGTAAAGGGGTCAAAACTGACCAGTTGTATTTCCCTATATAATCTTTGTATTTTATGGGGAAAACAGAGGGTCATTTCAAAACGAATTTTAGGGCACTTACCTTCTTTACATCTGGCTAAGTTTTGGCATGCTTATAGGTAAATGGCTTGGCCGTAGGGCAGACATGTCGGTTTCACTCATAGCCCTCGACGAGGGCTAACAAGTGACCGCGAGTGAAATTCTCTTTATATGAGCTCTATTACGAAAAAAAATTTCCTCCGACGACCCCCCTTGAAATTTTGTGAGGTGGTAGGAGAACGCCTAGGGGTGTCACAAAAAACTCGGCATATCTGGGAAAACTTCGTAAAGGGGTCAAAACTGACCAGTTGTATTTCCCTATATAATCTTTGTATTTTATGGGAAAAACAGAGGGTCATTTCAAAACGGATTTTAGGGCACTTACCCTCTTTACATCTCGCTAATTTTCGGCATGTTTATAGGTAAATGGCTTGGCCGTACGGCTGACCTGTCAGTTTCACTCAAAGCCCTCGACGAGGGCTAAAAGATGATCGTGAGTGAAATTCTCCTTATATGAGATATATATTTAAATAAATTGACGAATGATCCCCTTAGTATTATATGACGTCGTAGACCGACCCTGGAAGGTAACAAAAAATATTTATTCCCGTCGGAAACAGCCATTATAGTCGTTAAATATGTTCATATACCGTAATTTCTTATCTAAGCATAGCAACTGTTTGCAAAAAACAGTAAACAAAGACATACGTAATACGTTCAGTTTTCAAGGGAGGTAACGTTTTTAAAATTATTATTTTTCAAATAATTGTATACTATTTTCAACCGAAACAGAAAATGACGAAGTATAGCATTTGTTTTAGTACAAAATTAAGTTGTTTATTCAGTTACGTATCCTAATTAAATAATCAAATAAATTTCAAAAGGCAATGTAATATAAAATGTTAGATATACTGTTTATGGAACCTGTGTAGTTCTAATTCCGTTTTAGTTATAGATTGCGTACTTTCCAATATTTCTTTGGGAACGGCATTTAAATGACAAACAAAAACATTTTTTCTAAAGATAGCATTACCGTTTAAATTAAAGCACTCCACACCCAACCCATCGCTAAATTATTAAGTATTCAAATTCTCAATGTTTTTTAAAAACCTAAGCGAAGCTAGGCAGTATGCCTAGTATATATATATATATATATATATATATATATATATATATATATATATATATATATATATATATATATATATATATATATATATATATATATATATATAATTATAGTATACATAGCCTTTACATAATGAAACGTACCAAATTTAGCATATGGTGGCCTGACATAAGTGTGGCTTTCTGGGTGTCTTACACTATCAGTGTTAATAAAAAAAGAAAGTATCCATACTATTCTTGTTTTAATGTAATTGTTCAATCCTTTTATTTTTGCTTTCCAATATAAAACTAAAGTTAAAAAAAAAAAACTATTTTCTAGCACTTTCATTGGTCCTATGCTGGGCGGTGTGTTGATTGAAGAGTTGGGCTTTAGGGCAGGAGCTACTGTCATCAGTGAGATCTACTTTGTTGTGGTAAGCTGTACAACACATGTCTGCCCTTCACAAACTTACTGTCACAGAGTAAAAGGGCAGGTCTGTTGACGTTTCATCAGAGTTGGGTTTGTTTAAATTCATCTCACAATGCCTACTCCCTTCAACTCGAATTCCAACAGTATTATCTAAAAATACGTGGACAGAAACATACACATAAAAATATACACACATAAACCACACCAACACCACTCATATCCCCGCAATACCATGACCCCACACATTCCTTTCCCCCCACATCAAGCCAGCTCAACCAACACCCACCCACGCATCCATTTTCACACAACACACTCTTAAAATAGAAAGCCCAGATCCATATATAGTTAAAGGTTTCAACTGGCGTTTAGATTCTATCTATACATACGTTAGGACCACGTATTTAAATCACCTGCGTGTTTATGTGTGTGTTTGTGTATATGAATGTTTGTATGTTTTTAAAATACATTAAATTGACATGCAATAGCCATTAGATTTCTATCCTTGACATACATGCAAATATACATACTTTTATAACCTGTATATAAACACATGTGTATGTTTTTAAAAGATAATAGATGGACAGGCTGTTCATTTATACATTAGCCATACGATTTATATCCTTGTCATACATACATATACACGGGAGCCTGACGTTTTCCCGAAAGACACTTGCCCGAATGCCGTTTGCCCGAAGGCCGATTTCCCGAATGGACACTTGCCCGAATGCGACAAATGCCCGAATGGATACTTGCCCAGTTTTGAAAAAAAAATAAAAGCTAAATTTAAAAATATAAACAACTTTGTTTTATGCTTAGAATTGTGTTTATAATCAAAATTTCAAACTTAAATTGATTAAAGAATGTCTATTTGGAAATATTATTTATTATCTAATAATAACATTTTTCGGGCAAACGGCCTTCGGGCAAGTGGCATTCGGGCATTTGTCCCATTCGGGCAAGTGTCCATTCGGGCGTTTGTCGCATTCGGGCAAGTGTCCATTCGGGCATTTGTCGCATTCGGGCAAGTGTCCATTCGGGAAATCGGCCTTCGGGCAAACGGCATTCGGGCAAGTGTCTTTCGGGAATTAGTCGTAGACCCATTATACACATACATACATATCCTGTAGATAAAAGATGGACCGGCTGATCATTTATACATTAGCCATATGATTTCTATCCTTGACATTCATAGATACGCCCTATGTACAAACATATATACATAACCTTTATATAAACACGTATATATGTTTTTAAAGATCACCGACCGACTAACTAACTATGCACAAGTCATTAGAACTTTAATCATCTAATTTTTACCCACCTCCCCAGATGATCAGCTGTGGCCTATATTTCCTCTACCGTCACCTCAGATCAAAACCCAACAAAAATTCTTCCCGTCTGGACTACGGTACTATTAGGCCTGAGACACAGACGATGGTTACGCTGAGAATAAACTGAACATGGAACACGTCCTTTCCAGCAGATTAGGGTTTCATATACAACTTAGTGAAATGTTTTTCAAGAAAATAAAGAAATAAAGTTTGGTTATCATAAATTGTGTTTTCTAGTACGAAACCTGTTTCTCCAAATGCACTCCGAACATTAAGTTTGTACATTGTAAATTTTAAGTTTTCCGTGTATATTTAGAATGAGCAAGTGTAAGTTTTGTTTACGGAATAAAATTGTCCAGATGGCGCTCATGGTGATCCACATCAAAATTTCTGGAGTTATAGTAACATATTTTACTTACATAAGTTGGATCAAGTTAGACCAATTTTGTTTGAAATAAAACTTTTTATTTCTTAAATTTCAATAACATTTTTACGTTTTTAATTATCCTTCATTTTCTCTTAGGGGTCATCCATAAATGACGTCACGCTTTTTGGACAATTTTTACCTCCCCCATCCCCTCCGTCACACATCGTCACAAAAAGCCAGACCCCCCCCCCTAAAATGACGTCACACCTCAGCCTACAACCCCCCTCAAAATTGCAATTGAATTTTTCTTAAAACATCGATATTTTTCTAAAATCTTGTCTGAACTCTCTCAACATAGAGTATTTTAATCAATTCCTATTACAATTTATTAAAACAGTTTTCTAAAACGCGAAATAAAGGCTAAAATTCGTTTTCCAACATTACTTTTTGTTAATGCAAAAATGTGACGTCCCACCATCAGACCCCCCCTCCCCCTCATCACACGCCGTCACGCCCTCCCCCCTACGAGTGTGACGTCATTTATAGACGACCCCTTAGGCCAAAAAAGTACATTTCAATATTAAATTCCCCGTATATTTTGTCCTACATTTTCCTCTTTTCGAATCAAACACAAGCAAATATCAGATGCTAAACTAAAATAAACAAAGCTATAAAATAGCAACTATAAACAACAACCGCATCAAAACACATTTTATTTTTAAATACATGAACATCAACAGCGGCAAAATGTATCACATTATACAGCTGTTTCGAAAAATACGTAGATCTAGTAGTAGATAGATCTAAAGCTATCTAGAAAGGTGAACGACTCTCGCTTAACTGAACTGTGTGTGTGATGGGCTATAAAAGTACACTTGAAGGGACGTCAGTCGATGGGGACAACTTTAAGCTGGGGTTAATCACAAAATGTAGTGTACGAGTACAGCTGTCGCTAAAACCATGAGGCTGATGATGTGGGAACTAACAGTCAAATGATAGTCATTTACTCCTATATGGTCAGTCGCAGAGGCGTCGCGAGGCGGGGTCGGGGGTGCGGACCGCACCGGGTGACACCATTTAGTGGGGTGACCCCAAGACAAAAATTGAAAAATGTATAGTAGAAAAATGCTTTTTGCCAGTTTACTTAATGATTAATTAGAGTTAAAAAGTCTTATTAAATGCAAATCAAAGATTCCAAAATGGGGAAGGGGGTGACACCTGGACGTAAACTTGTTAATTATAGAGAAATAAATTTTAAATTTTACTTAGAGATATATATATATATATATATATATATATATATATATATATATATATATATATATATATATATATATATATATAATACTTTTTTGTTAGGGGGGGGGTGATACCATTAGGTGCCGCACCGGGTGACAACCGACCTAGCGTCGCCACTGGCCAGTCGAATCTTCAACCATGGTCAATCATATCCTCAGATATCGTGAGTCATATCCTCAGATACGGTCAGTTACATCCTTAAATATGGACGGTTGAAACAGAATGGTGATATGATTCGTCAAATCTATACATATGGTTGTGACATCGTTACATATGGCTAATCAAATCCTTATGAATTATCAGTCATATTACCAGATACAGTAGTAGTAAAGTGCCTTTTCGAAAATGAGAGACAGTGGGATAGGTGAAGTCAGAGGCGTAGCGACCCTTCCCGGCGCCGGGGAACAAGCTTTTGACTTGCACCCCCACCCTCGAACTTTTCATTTGCATCCCCCCTCAAACTTTCAATTTATTTTTCCAACCCATTTTGGCGCCCCCTAAGGTCGGCGCCGCCCGGGGACATATGTCCCCCCACGCCCCCCCCCCCTCGCTACGCCTCTGGGTGAAGTAGAGTTCATATGTGTTCATCAGCCGTATCTTACCTATAGTAGCTTATACCCTTAGATAGGTCAGTCAAAACTTTAGATATGGTTACACAAATCCATTCGTTCATTCAAATTGCTAGCAGTTAGAAATAGCTTAAATTAACCGTTATTTAATTACTGGCTATCGAACCTGGTGTACTCACGGAGAGGGGGCATAACTCCCGTTTAGAACAACATTACTTGCGCCTTGATGGTCCGATGGTATAGCCACTCGGTCTAATTATAGCACACACATAAAACGTGCACTCTAACGTCTCGTTACTGATCAATTAGTCATCCTTATGATGGGCAAGTACTGACGCAAGATTGACACAATGACGTTTAATTATACAGATCAGCTTTCAGATAACGTCAAATGCAAAAAAAAAAATGAATAAGGATTTAGCGATTATACTCTTAATTTAGTCTAACTTATTTTTTTATATTATTTATTTTTAATAGTAATTGAATGAAAGTAAGTTAAATAATTCAAAACTAAACTAATTACTAGTAATTGAGATATGATAATTAGAATTCATTTGTCATAATAAAACCTATACGATACGCTATACCGCTTAATTTTTTTTTTTGAATAATTAGCTCAACATCAAAGACGTGTAGGAGGGAACAAAACAACTTAGAGTTCTCGTGTCGTAAATTTTTGGTGACTAAACTGAAGTGGTTAGAGTTATATAAAAACATTTTCTGTTTAGTTCAAAACTTCATTTAATAACCCCACATGGGAGGCAACTGGATTCAATTTTTTCATTTTTGCCATCCGTGGTTAATGTTGACTGTGTTAAAAAATGCCGTGTTCTGCCTGTTATGTAGAGCTAGGTTTAGAACTAAGACAAAATATTTTCTCAGTTGTAAGCAGGGGTGACTGTGGAGAGGAAGTGACTGTTTTTGTGTGTGACAAGGATAGTCACAGTGTGATAGAATCGAAGGAAAGTTGTGAATGTGTTAGACATAATGAAGATGATAGCGACAGGGAGGATGATGTAGCTGTATTGTTGGCTGAGGAGGATTACAGCAAGCATGAGGTGGATTACAGCAAGCATGAGGATTATCTGTGTGTCAGCTGTTTGACTGCTGACATACTCACCCACAGTGACAACGTGACTGCCAACTACACCCCTAACAACCATTTGACTGCCAACCACACCCCTAACAACCGTTTGACTGCCAACCACACCCCTAACAACCAAGTGACTTACAACCCCACTCATAGCAACACATTGACTGAAAACCTCACCCCTAGCAACCACTTGACTGACAACGTGAAAATAGAGAACTTGACGGACAACCACATCCCTAGCAACCACTTGACTGCCAACCACACCCCTAGCAACCACTTGACTGACAACCATACCCATAGCAACCACTTGACCGACAACCACATCCCTTGCAACCACTCGACTGACAGCGTGAAAATAGAGAAGTTGACTGACAGCCTTACCCCCAAGAACATTTTGAATGACAACCTCACCCCTAGCAACCATGTGACTTACAACCTCACTCATAGCAATGCAATGACTGACAACCATAATCACAACCCTAACAACCACTTTACCGACAAACTTACCAATAATAACAACTTGACTAACAGCTTTATAATCGACAACCTGACTGACAACCCCATTTATATAACTGACAACCCATCTACTGAGAAAACCCCCCATGAAGACAACCAGCCAGCAACCCCAGACAACCAGAAAGCAACCATTTCCAGCCTGCCACGAAAAACAAAAGTCATTCTAATTCTTCTACTCATGGCTTTCTTCTCCGCAGGGTGCGGATTCTCACTTTCCGCGCCATTTTTTCCGGACGAGGTACACACTTCTGTCATTTCCGTGCACCGGAAACTGTTTAATAATTTAAATAAAAAAATAAAGTCAACACTCCTTTCAAATAACGTTGTTTTTTTTTTCATTTATCGCAGGCAGCAAAAAAGGGCGTCTCTATCACTGTGACCGGCTTAGTCTTTAGTTCGTATGAGTTCATGATCTTTCTATCATCGCCGTTCTATGGCTACTATGTAAGCAAGGACTTAGCCTTCATATAAATTCTTATACTTTAAAAAAAGCATATAAAGTACAAAAAGGTGTAATCTAACTTAGTCAGAGATTTACCATTTATTAATTTATTTTGTTGACCAAGATAGAACACACATTTATAATCGTTTTTCCTAATTTGTTTTTCTAGTTGACAAAAATAGGACTAAAATGCATGACCGTTTTTTCCTAATTTATTTTACTAGTTGACGAAGATAGGACCCAAATACATGATCGTTTTTTCCTAATTTGTTTTACTAGTCGACAAAAATAGGACTCAAATTTATGATAGTTTTTTCCTAATTTGTTTTACTAGTTGACGAAGATAAGACCAAAATTCATGATAGTTTTTCCTAACGTGTTTTACTAGTTGACGAAGATAAAACCTAAATTTATGATATTTTTTTCCTAATTTGTTTTACTAGTTGACGAAAATAGGATCTAAATTTATGATATTTTTTCCTAATTTGTTTTGATAGTTGACGAAGATAGGACCCAAATTCGTGACAGTTTTTTTCCTAATTTGTTTTACTAGTTGACGAAAATAGGACCTAAATTTTTGATTGTTTTATTCCTAATTTGTTTTAATAGTTGACGAGAATAGTACCTAAATTTATGATTTTTTTTTCCTAATTTGTTTTACTAGTTGACGAAAATAGGACCAAAATTTATGATAATTGTTTCCTAATTTGTTTTACTAGTTAATGAACATAGGACCCAAATTCATGATAGTTTTTTCCTAATTTGTTTTACTAGTTTAAGAAGATAGGACCCAAATACATGATCATTTTTTTCCTGATTTGTTTTACTAGTTGACGAAGAT